CTCCCTCTGAGGACAAAAAAAGGTAATGGTCATGACGACCAGAGCCAGTTGGATGGACAATCCACTGAGAAACAGACAGCAGGCACAAAGAAACGCCGTCGAGCCGTCAATAATGCAGAGAGAAGAACCACTCGTGCACATAAACGAAGACGGAATTAAAGATGTGAACATGAGGGGTTGTTTTCCGCTTTTCCCCTCATGATGAGGGTTTTATCCTGGACAGGTTTTCCTTCAGTCAGGTTTTTTTTTACGAAATTTTACCTGTGAATGATCATGAAAGCAAGGAACTGGCACGTCGCACAGTCTCCCGATTTCTTTTTTTTTTATTTTTATTTTTTTTTATTTTTTTTATGTCTTGGGATTGATGTGCAACGCTACGTGGAACGAGGAGGTACCTCGTTGACACCCAAATATTACTAGTGTTCTTACCGGTTTTCAACCTCCTCTATGGGGGAGGGCTGTCGTATATTTGGGTCGTCAGTCCGCTAGAACGACACTTCTTAATAAAACAAGTAGACCAGAGCAATACCGAGTCACTTCAGCTCAGCCTTAAAAGACTGAGCTGGACGGGGCCGGTTCTGATCCCTCTCTTTGTCCCAATTATATCTTGTGAGCCCAAAACATAACAAGAAGAAAATCATCGCAATTTCAATGATCTCTTGCATACTTTCACGGTTAGGTGCTGCCCAGGTTGTATCGTCTACGAAGGCCAATGCGGCAATAAAGAGCTGCGGATCCGGGAGCGCAGGCTGCGGGAAATGGAGATGATGGTGTTCAGCCAAGGCAGCCTTGCGCATGACCGGATACCCAAGCCCGGAATCCATGACCACACTCAGCAAGATTTCGTACGAGATGCGCCAAAACAACGGACATTCTACCCCGCCCTGATCCAGACCGCACTGTGGACTGTACTCCTCCGTGAGCCCGAAAGCCGTCAGGATCTGGTTTTTCTTGGAGGCTGCAATCGTCAAGCAGAATTGAATGAAGCTAGGGTGGATCTTGAGGTGGCGCATTCCACGTTCGAGCATGCCGTCGGGACCACATGAGACAGAGTCGAAGCAGCGGCGCATATCCTGGAACAGCACCCACAGCTCTTTGTTGAATTCTCTGGCGTCCTCCATAACCGAGTTGAGAATGTGTATCGGGTCCTTTGTCATTGTGCCCTTCATGACCGAGAAGTTTGGTCCGCGTAAAACGCTGTGGCGTGCGAATATGGCTGTAAGGCGGTTGACCAAGATCGTGAACAGGATCTTTCTCGCGTGCTCTAGCAGGGCTATCGGACGGACCTCGCTGATCTTGCCAGTCCATGACGGACCTTTCGGGATACAATAGATGAGGCCCTTGAGCCACACCGTGGGCAAAGTGCATTGTACAATGCTGGCCTGCACAAGGAAGACAAAAACCGAGAAAGCAATCGGTCCGAGGTGCTTCAGTAGGTCTCCAGACAGCCCTGATATGCCTGGGGCCTTGTTAGTGGGTGCAGATTGTAGAGCAGCAGCTACTTTTTTTTTTTTTTTTTTTTTTTTTATTAACATAAATCCCCATGAGCACAAGACGCATGGTCCGCAAAGGCCTTGAAGCCATAGATGCCTTCCATGCACGGCAGAGCCGCATCCCCTACCAACTATGTTGGCTTGAGGCGTCAAATTCATAACCCATGTCGCATAGCTAGCCTAACCTAACTCCTGCGTGACCTGTTGCGCGATACACGTCTCCTAATCCAGATCCAATGTTAATAAAGTTGTTTTTAAACCGAATAACCCCTCCATTATGTCCAACTTCCCTCACCCCAAGCAATGCTGTAGCACCCTATAATCCGCGGTCCGTCTACCTTCCTGGATCTCCGTTGCAAGTAACCGTCTCCCTTTCAAATCAGAGAAATCACCAACACTACGTTGGTGTCCCCGATTACCGTTGCGTCCTCCGGCGCGTTTGCTCATGAAGGTGATTCCAACTGACTTTTCCCAGGCGACAGTGTCCTCGCATCGTTTGTTCCATATCTTGGTCCTGCCAAACTCTTCGATCCTGCTCACGAACTTTGTCACCATGATCGTCGCAATCCACTTGGTGGTGGTAAATAGCTGCTTCCAGGTCTCAATGAGTCCCGTTGGCACCAAACCTCGGTATAAGTCCTTGACCTCCCAACCTGCCTCACTCTCCGGCTCCTCTCCTTCCGCAACCCGATATGTCCCTCGCCTTTCCGCCGTCCCCTGAATCCACTGCATTGACTCCCAGATAGCCTTCGTTCCTGTTGCCGAGAAGTTGGGACAAGTTGCAGTGAAGGGCTTGTCCTTCCGTTCGGCCTCCTCTCTCTCCTGTTCCCATTTTCGCACTGCCTGTCTCCATGCACGATATCCATTCAACTCCACTTCCTCCACCGCGTCCCTCCACTCTTGTCGCTGGTCGCACAATGTAGCTGAACAACGCCAAAGATGATCGTTCGTCTCTGGTTCCCTCTCACACCTACGACATATGTCCGTTTGGTAGGTATCTAGATGTCGTTTCTTCATCGCCTGCAATGTCGGCAAATCTCCATGCAGCTTCTTGATCCTGTGCGAACGTAAACGACAGTCTTCCAGGCTGGTGTATAAGCGCTTTGGCGGGTTGTTATCGTGTAAGATCCGTAGCGTGGGCGCCCATGCTACCGACCGCCAATCCTTGATGTAGGTCCTCGTTCGATGCTGCAATGTCCACTGATAATGGTGCCGTACCGCGGACTGCAACTTCAGTATCCTCCTCAAGTCCAGGTCTGCACTGTGTGTTGCAAACTGTGCGTGGCATTTCAAATCATGGTGCTGCGTTGCGTCTAGCCTCCATAGTCCTGTATCGATCCCATGTGCTGCCTTGGCAACAGTGTCTGCAGCCTCGTTGCCACGGTGTCCAGCATGTCCTCGTACCCAATGCACAGATATACCTTGTCCTTGTTGCAAGAAGGCATAATGCACCATCGCCCACCACTGTGCATCTGCAGATCTCAAACGCTGCCTTGCTGTTGCTGAATCCCGCTGCTGCACCAACTCCTTGAAATTGTTGACGACTGTGAGATTGTCGATGTAGATGTCGACGTTCTCTTCCCTTGGGCTGATAAGAATTGTTGCCAAGAGCCCACACATCTCTGCAATTGTTGACGACGCGTATCCCCCGACCCGTCCACTGAACGCCGTTGTGTAGGGACCACCATCCACAGAAACGACAACTCCGAATGCTGCACTGACCTGCTCTGTGCCGTTGTGAATCACTGACCCATCCGAGCAGAAGTGAAGCCTTCGATGTGTTTGCAAACGTCTCCTAGCTGTCCGAATTTGCGATGTCGACGTTCTCTTCCCTTGGGCTACCCATCGAATGGGTTTCGGTGCGATTGCACTTAAGGAACGATTTTTTTTTTTTTTTTTTTTTTTTTTTTATTCAACATGGCCTCCGAGAGAGAACAATCAGTGCTGGTTTCCTAGTGAATAGTCTCTGAGACTTGTGTCTATCTGGCCCTAAATCTTCTAGTGTGGCAGTCGCACCATCTTCAACAACTTCACTGTAACCTCCCTAAGCGTCCCGAGGTCTTTCTCCTGCGATCCGCTCGGCTAGCTGGCAGGCTCCTCACCTGCAAATCTGCCAAGACCATCTCTCCAATTGCAACCTGTACATCTGGGAGATGGTCTTGGTTTCTTGAGAGCACGGAATCCGTTCTACTGGCTTGCGAGCCGAATCCTCTACTATTGTAACATTTCCTCCTCCTCCTCGTCCCGTCTTTCCTCCACCTGGGGTCACTGGATGTGAGCTCAGATTAGCCTATTATAAGGTGGGCCTACTCACTTTTGAACTTATACCTGTAACCCCGGCAGGGGTAGCTAAGACGCATGCTGCCAGTGCAGTGGAATAACTTGTACACCCTGGTGTATAGCTGGGAAGTTCTGAACCAGCGCCTCTCGAAGTCCGGAGGCTAGCGCAAGGGCGAAATTTATTCTGAGCATTTTGTCAAGCGTTAAGGAAGGGGAAAGGAAACCCACAACGATTACATGGGGTAGTGCCACTCAATGTGGGGGTCGCCGGGGAAAGGAAACCCACATAACTGAAGTGGGGTAGTACGCCCGACTCATGCTCCAAATAAATTTCTATGCGTAGCACATATTACTGTGCTTTAACCAGGGCTCGAACCTGGTCCCTTCGCGTTACAAGGGAGGTGCCCTGACCAGTATGCTAACTGAGCCATCGGGCCTCTGCACTTAAGGAACGAGCATGCAATTGTGGAAGATATGTGCACTTAGAGAATAATGCAAATTAGGAGCTAAAACTATGTATTATTCGCAGAAAATTCCGACAGGAAGCCCGGCTAACTCAATCGGTAGAGTGTCAGACTTTTAATCTGAAAGTTGCGGGTTCGACCCCCGCGTTGGGCGCAGCTACTCCTTTTTTGAGCCCTTGCTTCAGGGGTTCAGCCTCTTCCTTTTGTTTCGCCTTTCAACAGCGCAAGGCGCAGGCGCAATCCATTTTAGTTTGTTAAGGAAGAGTAGTTCACCGATTTATTAGTATTAGTATTAGTAAATTAAATAAAACCAAACATCTTGCCCTTCTTCTTTTCTGTCTCTACTCCAGGTCCTGGTTGGCCTTGATAGTTTGCCGGAGATGCAGGTGAACGAGATGGAGGCGGTCCAGGAGGCGCAACAAATCGACCAGATGCATCCTTATGAATTGTCCTTATGCCACCGTTGGCGCCAGGGGCAGATCTGTAATCGGGGGTGATCGGTCGATGGGGTGAGGCAGGTGGTGGTCCAGGTTGGCCTGATCTTCCTGAGGATGGCTTCAATGGAGCCAGTGCTGATCTGGATGACGGAGGTCCTGGTCGCTGTGAAGGTGCTGGCTCGTAAGGAGGAATGACAGGTGCTGTGGGACGAGGCGGGCCCCTGGCCAGGTGACGCATGCTGCGCATGAACTGTCTGGGTGTAGTGACATGGGTGGATCCGATGACAATATCCCGACCCATAGACTCACAGAGTTCATACATAGCGCGGATCTCTGAATAGGTAACTCCTCCTGCAATGAACACCAGGAGCCGCGATCCCTTCACGTTTGGCTTCTTTTTCTCCCATGTGGGTTGAGGAGTTTTGCGAAGTGATCTTGTCGCCTCGCCTGCGTCCATGGGTGCTTCTGTTGTGTAAGGATAGAGGCCGGGGTCCAGTGTGCCATTGATATGCTCTTCAACAACCTTCTTAGCCTTGGTGATGTATCGCGACAAGTCGTAAGGCTGTTCCTCGTCCTCCGGCCGTTTCCTAACATAGAATGGCTTTCTCTTTGTCTTTGGATTATTACCACCCTGAAGAAAGAGAAAGATGGCTGTTAGTAACGGGGATTCATGTCACGTTCAGAGCCAGCAATTTGAAGTTAGTCTTACCCTTTCCACATTGATACCAAGAAGCCCAAGATTCCGAATGGCATCCGCGTTGCCTTCAGAGACGTTTGCATGATCAAATAGCATTTCACGATCCTCAGCACGCAGACCCTCGCGACAGATCGTGTACAACATCAGCAACCGCATCCTATCCATCGGGCTGACTTTGGGGTCGTCCAGCAGTGGAACCATGTCGGCAAGAACCTGCTTAGGCAGATGTCCATCTGTGGTCTCTCCTGTTGCGAGCTGCTGTTCTATCAACCCAACCTCGTTGATCTTCCACTCTTCGAAAATTTTCATGCACTGCTGAGCCATGTGGATATGAGTCGAATATTTCGCCTTCATGTCCTGGAACTGGGGCAAGTTTGCGAGTTGGTCCTTCATGTTTCTGAGAGATGCAACCTTGTCCTTGTCGCCTCTGAGACTCTCGTTTTCCTCCACAAATTTGTTGAACTTTGAGGTCAGGGTACTAGCGGTTTCAACAATATGCGCATGGCGGATGTCCATGAATACCTGGTCAGATTCGTCAATCACAACAGAGACCTGTTCGGTTTGGCCGTTGGATCCCTCAATGTCGTATGTGTATTTGGTGCCGTCCTCGATTGGCAGGAGATCGTTGGCCATTGCCTGGTACGTAAACTCATGTACGATTGCTGCTGTCACGTCGATCGATCTGTCCAGAATCAATATCGTTCCCTGTCCCTGCTGTCTTCCCTATTGTCGTGAGTTGACAAGCCAGAAATTATTAGCACCTTGAACATAATAGTTATAATAATTTTCATGAATAAATGAATAAAGTTGATTACCGCTGTATCTGGATTCGATCTCATGTACGCCTCGAGTTCGCTCTGGAGTAGCATGGCCAGTTTCATGGACTGTGTTCTCTTTCCATCCAATGCCTCTGGAGGGCGGAAATATCGGATCGAAGGATAATCACCAAATGTCGCAATTACGGAAACCAGCTACGAAGATGTAATAACGAAATGTGACAAGATATAAGTCAGAGTAGCTCTTACTTAGAGACCAGGGTGTTCTGTTGCGATAGATCAAAGTGTTTATGCTTACCTGTTTAGCAATGGAGTCTAGTTCTGAGGCGAGCTCCATCTTTTTGGATGGAGAATAGAGGGTATAAAAACTCGAAGGCGATTCCAAAGAAAACACACGCGATTCAATGGCTGTATGAGATTGATAGTTAAAGAAAAGGGATTAGTCAGGTCCATATCAGACAAATCCATTCAAAACGACATGACAAGGTCAAACCATAGTTCGTTAAGGTACCTGTAAAATCAATAAATATCTCCCTAAGCGATTTAATGTACTTCGAGACGGATGACTTGGTCAATCGTTCGAACAAGCGATCCTCCAACGCTATGGTGTAATAGCATTCAATATATGTTAGTACTATCGCAGCCATAGCAAGATCGCATTCAGACATGGACTAGTTTTGGAAACGTGCTTACGAGCTGTGAAGAGGACGTGGGCGGCCTTGTATTTGCCTGTAGGACTATCACTGGGGTAGTCGTCCATGAGCCGTTGAACAGACTCCACGCAGGGTGTCAATAGGTAGACCGCCTCGAGGGAGGTATATGCCTGTCGGTTACTCTCGAGCATCTCGACCACTGTTCAGATATAGGAGAGGGAAGCGGTTGAATGAATTGATGAGCTGAAGATAATAGTCTTTTGTCCACGAAGTCGAACCCTTTTCTTGTTGTCTTACAGGTGACATTCCTGTCCATGATATCAAACATCTTGCAGGCACTGAGGACGATCTTGTTTGTCTTTGCATCGAGGACGACGATCTTGTATCGCTCAGCGGGCTGGACAGAGTCGATGCTGTCGAGAATGCCTAGAGAAGAGAAAAGAAGTGCAGTCGAGTCAGCTCAGCTTGAACAGTGACAACAGGGAGTGTTGCGAGGTGGGACAAGAAAGGGTTGCAATTGCTGGTCCTTACGGTCGTGGAGGACCTTGACTATCGAGGTCATCGAAGAGAGATGAGGATGGGGGAGTGCAGAGGAGACAAAGAAGAGTGGGGTGAAGAAGAATGGAAAGAGAGTGATGAACGAAGAGATGTTGAGTGGTGAGTGAGGTGGGTATTTGATGAAAGAGGACAAAGTGATGGAAGTAAAGGATGATGATGCTCAGTTCAAGGGTCCTTGCAATAAAACTCAAGCGGGACTTTGTCTTCCTACCCCCCATTTCCACATCTCTGCCTGATCTGATCTGATCCAGGTACTTGGCACCTTACCCCGTTAGTCATTACCTACAACTCCACCCATTAAATCACACTTCATAATGTTGTTTGCAGCAATACGTGGACCAACCCTCACGCAGCGCGCATGCTCAGCCTGCTTCTCCTCTACCACTCGTTCATACGCCTTCATCGCCCCCACTAGTTCTTTCCGCAGAGGCACTCGCAGTCCGCTCGCGCAGCAGTTGATCGTGACACGAGCACGCTTGATTGATCCCCCAGAGTCAGCCATCCTGATCCAACCCTCGTTGTCCTCTTCATCCATCACCCACCCCTTAGGTGCACGTCTCTCCTTCAGCTCAACTGCAACACTGTCTAGCATCACCACTGCCATGGACACCACTGCCACCACTGCAGGCAAGTCTCTATCGAAAGATTCAAGCGTGCGAAAAAAAACAACAAAAAAAACATATTCCGAAAATATGGAACACTCTCCATTAACATGTCCATTCCTTTCTGTCCCTTATCTTGCACTTCTCTACCAGGAGAGATCCCTGTCTTTGATACAATTGCCGCGTTTCGCGAATGGCGCAAGGAGATCACCCGTCAAAACAAGACCGTCGGCTTTGTCCCGACTATGGGTGCCTTGCACGACGGACATTTGGGATTGGGTAAGGCAGCTCAGCATTCCTTGTCGCGTCTTTGTACTCTCTCACGTCCTTGACAATTTTGGTTGGTCTATCACTTACTGTCCCCTCCACAACACAGTACAGACCGCCAGGCAAGAATGCGACGCCGTCGTTGTCTCCATCTTCGTCAACCCCGCCCAATTCGCGCCCCACGAGGACCTGGACCAATACCCCCGCACTTTCGACACGGACTATGCCTCCCTGGTCGCCACCAAGGCCTGCTCCGCGATCTTGCTTCCGAAGGTTAGTGAGATGTACCCCGCCGGGATCACGCTGGACCGCACGCAGCAGCGTGGTGCCTTTGTCGAGGTCGTCGGTCTCTCCCACCAGATGGAGGGTATCCCGCGACCACACTTCTTCCGCGGCGTCGCCACCATCGTCACGAAGCTCTTCAACATCGTCCAGCCCGACCGCGCCTACTTTGGCCAGAAGGATGCCCAGCAGTGCGCCGTCCTCCGTGCCATGATCCGTGACCTATTGCTCCCGATCAAGATGCGTGCTGTCCCCACGAGTCGCGAGACCGATGGTTTGGCCATGTCCTCGCGTAACCGTTATCTGACCCCGGAAATGAGGAGCGTGGCCACGCTGCTCTACAGAGCAATTTCTGCCGCCAAGGAGAACATTGTCGAGCACGGTGCCTATGAGCGTGAGGAAATTCTCAAACCGGCCTTCGCGATAATTGAACAGGTCGCTAAGGATGTCAAGGCGAAGGGTCTGCCTTTTGAAGTAAGGCTAGATTATTTGTCACTGGTTGATGTCGAGACCTTGAGCGAGCTCCAGCAGCTGGGCAAGACGCAGGCGGCTGTTCTCTCGGGCGCTGTTTATGTTGGTACCACGCGTCTCATCGACAACGTACTGATTAACACTGAGGAGCTTTAGAAAACGAAGTTGCATTTAATTCGTTGCTGGATAATAAAAACATGCTTATTGAGGTTCAATTGACCATCAATGGGATGAGCAACAAGCACTATTAGGGGGTGTAGACTATGTATGGTATTATCATGTGGTTGGTAAATATACCATTTGCTTATGCATTCATGCATGGCGGGTTCTGTGATGAAGGGATTTGGGTCCCTGTGCGAGGCCATATGTGACACATTTACGCGGCAGCAGCGTTGGCGCCACTGAAGCGTTTCGAAAACGAAAAAGACGAGAACCTCCTGTTCTTGGATCCCTTGTCTTCGGCTGTGGGACTGTCTGGAACGCTGTGTTGAGACTTTGTTCGGTGGACGGACGAAAATGTCGAGGCGCGCTCTAAGCGGAGACCCATGACTTTGACACCACCAGCCTCGTCCATGACCTTGCGCTTCGTACGCAGTTTCTCGGCGACTAACAATTGTGCACAATAACCATGTTAAACGCATATCGGAAGGAGAGATTATTTAGCAATGCCGAGAGATGAAACATTACCTTGAGTCATGGTTGAATTGGACCTGATCAGAATCGATTCGCCGCTCAGGGGGATATCGTCAATGTCGTCTCTGTCCAAGGGCATGGGCTCGCCTGGCTTAGATTTGCCATCCCACGGGGAGAACTCGACTAGCAATTTGCTTGTCAATTTCTTACCGAACCTGTATAAGCATTTTAGAAAAGTAATGTTTAAGCCCATTCAGTATATTTCGCATCATTCTCCTATTCACGATGCGCCGACAGCGGGGCGATTTTTGTCCTTCAGGAGCATTTGCATACATGAGGTAGAAGAATCGGAGGCCAACATGAACGGACTGGACAGTGACTTTGATGACACCAGAATACGTGGTATCCTTTTTCCAGGACAGGGTCTCGGTGACTTCAAGAAGCATGTCCGGGTGTTCTTCTGACAACCATTTCATGATATCGGCGCGTTTGCCAATTAGGGCGAAGCAGTGATTGCCTTGATGGGGTGCCAGTGAGACGCGTTCCAGCTGAGGAGGTTTGCTAACACGGAAGGCACCCATGTGCCTGTCGGCATATTCACCTGTTGTAGAGCGAGCGTCGTAGAAGAGTGAGCGTATGTTTTACTTGTTGGACTCGAATATTGATACAGGTTACTTGTTGCTTGACTTACGTGAAAGGTATCCAAATCGAACTGGGGCCATGGTGATCTGTCTTTTGTTCTGGCTTCAATGATAAAAGGATTTGAGCTGTAGTGGGTGATGTTGAGAAGTGAAATGTGAATCCAAAGAAGGATGTTGTCAAAAAAAAAAAAAGTGAGGCGGGAGCATGTTTATATAGGTTGTTTGCAACAGGGAGCATGTAATGATCATCCATTGGTGGTGCTACAGGAGCCAGGGTATTGAGCAGGATGCAGAACGTGGGGTCACAAAGCGCGATAATTTACCTGGGTATTAGGGACAGGAAGCTTGCGTTGGAGATGAAAAATGAGAAGAAAGAAGGGGAAAGAAGAAAGAAGAAAAAGGAGATGAGCAAAAAGATGACCTTCACTCACACTCGCGGGTCACTTTAAGAAAGAAGACCTTGGTCAAGAAGCAAAAGGACTGATTCCTCGACGCAGCGACATTGCTTTCATGCCATCTTTTTACAATAATCTATCAATGGTCCATCATGGCCTTTCGAAAAAAAAAGGTTCGGTGTCCTAGTCTTTGTACTCCCAATGCTTAACAACGATTAAATTTTGCTCCTCCAGCAAAGTCTACACGCATGCAATGCATGGGTCACGTCCATTTGGGTTTTATGAGCTGAACGTTTTTTTTTTTTTTGCATCCCCACTCTGTTGTCCTAAAGCGCAATTCTCCTGTCCAAACGCCGGGGACGCCAATGGAAAGTTTTCAAACAAACGAGCAAAACAGGCAAACGCAAACAAACATGCACGCAAAATAAACAACAAGGCTTAACCAAATCAGTCCAGAAAACAAACTAGCAATGCGCAGGGATGCAGCAAGGATGCAGCAGGGACAGATGAGGGGTGGTGTAGAATAGCGACGGGCAAAAATAACCTTTTTCGCTTCAAACTTCCTCCATGGATAGGATAAGGTCGAGGAGGCGATGGCTAAGAGTGAACATGACCGCGAAGTGTGCTTGCAAGTGCCCTCACGAGGTTATTCGTCTCTTTTTCTGGCCTGAATTCTGAATACAGACCTGGTTCTTATATGGTTCCCGATACATGTTTGAATAAGACATGCTGCATGTCCAAAGCTGCACTTCCATTTGTTTGCATGCATGTCTTTCTTCTTTGCAATCTTCACGCGGGTCCTTTTTCTCTTTTTGTTAGCAAAGAAAGTGTACGCCCCTTTCTTTTAATTCGACTGGCGCTTAGCTGAAAAATAAAGTACCATGGTACGCTTCGCTTGGGGGTCTTGCCACATTGTTATTCACCTCGGTAAATGCGCCGCTTGCTGCATCCGTGGTATCATTGCGCCGTCGTCTCGTTCCGAATGACGGAGAAAAAAAAAATAGTCGGCCGGATCATATTTGTCGATTGGTACTCGATTTTGTCACCCGATGTAGAGTAATGTAATATGAAAGATTTTGATACTTGTCGACCCGGTGTAGCTGCAGCACTTGCAGTGCCATTACTTCGATCTTTACGCGTCGGACAGCCTTCAACGCGCGTCTACCATCATTTAGAGAACAGCTAATAAACACTTTTTACCTGTCAGTCCATCAATGTGCTAGTTCCTATCGTTTCACACGCTTGATGTTTTTGTTATGAATTATTACCACTGTACTCATTCTACCATCCATTGTCGCCTTCTTTCACAAAGTACTAGTCCGACATTATGGCTTGCCTATTCAAGCCCATGTTCGCTTCTGGCCACCTAAAGAACACCGGAATCAGCCTCGCTGACACGCTCTGCATTCAGCTCGCGGCTAACGACAGTACGCTCACGCAACGTTCAGATCGATACTACACACAGTAGACTCTTCCGATGCAGCAAAATCGATTCAAGCTGTGGACGACGTTTAAGAATGACCCGAAGCACAAACGTAGTTCTTGATGGTTATTGTTTGTAAATAATTCCCGCTCAAACTGCTAAATAGGCATTCAATTGTTATGGATACAGTAACCCTAGAGTGCAATTGTGAATGAGAGCACAGCTGAAGAAGGCGAGGATCTAATTAAACATATGGATTCTACCTCTAAACGAATAAAGCACCTCTGCCGGATTAACGTTTGAGCATCTCCCCGAAGTGGGAGATTACCCTGACATCAACCCTGGAGGACCACAGCCATGAGCTACTGAAGGACATTGCGATTTTCAACAGAGAGTCACTGGCGTTGGCTCGGAGACAATGGCCGCCACCAAGAAGTGCGCTCTGGCTGGCGTCAGGTAGGAAAAGAGCCCTCGTATGCTCCGCATCAATTATCCAGGTCATCTCCTGTATTTCAAATTCAAGGTAGAGGCCTGCATTGCATCTGGATACCCTAAAGACATGCTAAAGCATTGAAGGAAAAGAGGATGAGGGGCGGGTCGTGAATTGAATCAAGATTCGAGATCGAAAGCACTACGTCGTCTGTTCTGGGTGAAACCCATACAGAACTGTACCTTTGTTGTAGCGATGTCGTTCTAAACGACAATACCACCCAAGCGAAAGATTCGACGTGATTTTCAGCACGTTTGTTGTCGTGGATGCCAACTGAAAATTACTTATAGGCGCCAACACCCTGGTTTGTGGAAAGGCAACGGACGATTATGAATGGATCTTGAGCGTGCTCGCATGATACAGGAGTAGTGCGGGATCCGGCCAAAGGATATGATTTTCCAGCAAGACAACGAATGCAAGTATACCTCAAGAGCAGCCAAGAGATTATTCACAACAATAAATAACATTAGCTCTTCTGGCTCCTCAGCGCTCCTGACATGAACCCATTAGAGCAGTTTTAGGACCACCTGACGAGAGAGCTGGCCAAATGTCCTAGCTCCCCTGTAGGAATACTTGAGCTGTGGGGATGGTGCAGGTTGAGATGAACAAAATTCCTGCTCCCGGGCGTCAATTCTTAATCGCAACGGACCCAGGCCCTAAAGCAAGCCGATGGAGAGCACATGAAATTAGTATGACAATAAACTACGAAAGAAAAATACAATTATCATAGTCAAAAAAGCATTTACTCATTTTCTAGAATTAATGTATACTCCAGTGGAAAGTTGTCGATTCTCTGGCGAGAAATACTGTTGGCTGAATGCCATAAAGTCGGAACCTCTGTGAGTCTCCTGAGTTCTGTCTTCGATCGCCTGATGACTACTTACGTAGCGGCCTCGGTGAACGCTCTACCGTTACAAGTACTCCAAAATTTCTGGTACCAGCACTGGAGAATGACAGAAGGACTATGTTTAAGTAAAACAACCCAACATGACGTCTAATGTCTACGTTTGTAGATTTGAAAGCACTTTACAGAAACTTACGCAGGGTATAGCCTCTTTCATGGATATGCTGTCAAATGGAGGTAACAGTTGCTGCCCTCAGAAAAGGATACGGCTGTTTACTATCGTTCGACCCGCGGTAAGTCCAAGCACGAATGCCGCCTCTGCTCATGCTCCTCTTCTTGCTTCCTCAGGTACTTTTTGTTGTCGTTGCCAGTTCTGAACCGAACGTACCGCCTTCCTCTCCCGTAGAGTTCACCAAGATGGTGTAATATAATGATCCCTGTCATTGTACTTTATGCTTCGAAAACTGGGTGGTCGTCCAGGGGCTCGACTTTCTCCGGCAGCTCAAGTTCAAAGAATGGACGTTCAAAAACCCCCGATCTACTTGGGATATTCCCTCCTTCGTTGAATAAGTACAACCGCGCGCACAATTCGCACTAAGAGTCACTGACACCAAAATGCGCGTCAGTCAGTACACAAACCCCAAACTTGAACTTCTATGTCGAATTTTTCTGCACGCGCCAGTCTCGTACTACTCTATTCATGCAGAAACAACTAAAAAAACGATGGTTGGTACGCCTTAAAAGGCGCTAGTTTATATACATTGTGCGTGTCTAATTATTTTGCTCTAAATAGGAATGAAACGACTGGTTTATTTGATCCAGAATTCGAATCAAGAGGAAATGTCTTCCTCATGACAAGTCGCGTAGCTTGCAGAAGTAGCCGCGGATGATATTGCAGAGTGGTGATTATGACCCTCAGTGACAATACTCATTACAGGTCTGGTCAGACCGAATAAGGCTGGATGCGCAGTTGACGCGGATGGCGCAGATGGTGCGGATGGCGCGGATGGTGCAGACACTGACGATGGCTCGTGGTGTTGTGTGTCAGATTGTGAAGTGAACAGAGATTGAGATACGGTTGTAGTTGTCGTCCTTGTAGTTGTCGCTGCATGGTGGCGTTGATCCTGGAGAGTACTTCCATGCTCCGTCCTTGTCTCTGAATAATCTGATGTAGTTTTCAACTCCGATATGGTCCCTCCATCGCTGGTCTGGAGAGCCGTCTTTTGGGTATGTGTTTTAACATGTAATGTTTCGCCATTACCTCTATCCTGGTAAGCAGACTTCTCGATAACAATCTCAGTGGGTGCCAGTGTTGATAACGATATGACACCTGAACTCTGATCCTCCAGGTCCTCTTCATGGCTTGACGCAGGTTTGGATGATATTCCACTGTCACTGGGAACCATTGTATCCGATCCTCCTGACGACTGCTTCTCGACATCGTTGACCTGTTGCTGCCCTCCTGCTGATAGTGGAGCTAGCGTGGGTCGGCTGTGGTTCATTCCAACCACGACAAAGCCGTCATCATCAACAGTATCTTCCTCCCCGAATTCATACAGCATCTCCTCCGCAGTTTTCCTCCGAAGGCACATGCAGCTGGCCAGGTAATTAATCCATGTCACGCGACGCACTCTATGCGAGAGTCTTTGCCCGATCAATGCATGGGGTCTCTTCCCGAACGGTCGTCCATAGATCCTGAACAACGCCTTGCGACTCACCCAAAGTGGTTTCGCATGATGCCAAAATTCCCATGCGATGCCCATACAAGCCAGGACCAACGAACACCCAATCATCGTATACACTTTCTTGTTGGGATGGTAGGTCAAAGCTTTTCCTGAAAAGTTGAAGATTACAATCATTTCTCGGTATCCGACCTGGACAAACTCATCCACGCCGTACATGAACAGGAACGCGCCGCCAAAACTCGTCCCTGCAATGATCGAAAACCGCTCATAAACGGTCGCAATCGCTGCTCCAAGGATGATGAAGACCGCAAGGAGAGCATAGCGTCCGGTGTTGGCCATGGAATAGTTGCTGGCGGCAATGATTCCCATCGCAACCGCGAATCCTCCAAAGCCGCCCGAAAATGCTACGCCAAGATCCCAGAAACGAAAGGAGAGGATCGCCCCGAGAAACCCGGCGAGAAGCCACATCCAAAAAACATAGTGTGCTGGTTTGAAGAGACCCCAGGCTAGCTCCCATTGGAGGGTTGTCATTAGAAGCATGACCACGACAGCTATTTATTTTTTATACAAGAACCAAGGATGCATCAATAAAGACGAAAGTGCTCCGTTACATTTGTCCAAAGATAGTATTGCACCGTAATTATAGTCTTGGTGAGCAAGAGCACCAAACAGCTATTCCAATTTTTTTTCTCTTACCCCAAGAAAGAAATCCTGTCCAGAGCAAAGTCACTCGAATGATCTTGAACCCAAAGAATACCTGCACCAGACCGGTGAGGATCAGTAGCGTGCCTAAGACCGCGTTCTGAGAACTGACAACGGTGCGTTGACCGACATCGAGAATCAGGGGTATGTTGCTTTCGTCCACTGAACTGATAGTATCGTTCATGAGCCGGCCTGAGCCGCCTACTCCTAAGGTGGAGAGCGACAGACTGACGAGGGGATAGGCCGCGGCGGTTGGAGTTCTTGTGATGGATGAGGTTGTACAGAGAAGGATGCAGAGATGCAATAGGAATAGATTGAGCACCGTCGACTTTGACGCCACAGTCAGAAATCGAGGAGGACGTGGGCGTGGACGAACTCCATCTTTGTATTGTTGTTTTCGTGTTGGTTGCTGAAGATGTGCGCGTATTGACGCAGAAGGGGCTATTGTCGGCGTGAGGCTTCGTGTTCCTGAAGGATGCATGGACGGCTACTATGGACTGATGGCCGCTCCCTTGTGCTGATTTTTCACGAAGGCCTGGGTTGGTGGCAAAAATAATAATAATCGTTGACTCGATAAAGAAATGAAAGAAAATGTGGGGCTGTGGGAATAAAGATGAAGGGAGGTGAGGTGAGGAAAGAGGGAGGAGAAGAAGCAACGAAGGGAGATGGGACCATGTCCTCACCTTAATGTTTCTTGGCTGAGAAGGTGTGTCAAAAAGGGCAGGTTCCAGCACTGAAAGGGTGTTTTTCTTTAGAAAACTCGAAACGTTTATAGAGGCGAACAAAAAAAGACCCAAAATGGGCGAAGATGATGATCTATTTCGTTCCAATGGGCAGACTAGACAGCAGAGAGGGAAAAGATCTTCTAGTTTAGGGGCGGGGGACGTAAATGGGACGAAGAAAGGGCATTCATCCGTATTTATATCAACAGCTCAGGTACTAGGCAGACTGCCTATTATAAAAACGCTGAGCTGAGTAGAGCAGTGCGGATATGATTTATGCCGTGGTAAATAAATGTACGATGGCCGGAAATAAAAAAAGCGGTGCTCTGAATATTGATAATCCGACCCCAAATCAGCGGATGTTTCGGGACAGCTTACTTCATGAAGCATATTCTCCTTGAGAGGGTCATCGGCAATGCCGTGAACGTGCACAGGGCATTACGGGCAGGGTTTCGCAGCCAACCGGAACAATAAAGGACCCTGAAACCACTCATGAGACGCTGTATTTCGTATCGACGCGAAGTGCACTGAGGCATAGCTTTTTTTTTTTTTTTTTTTTTTTTTTTTCTGGTTTGGACCGCGTCCTTCAACGGGTCGTTTACTGGTCAGAAGGCGAGTAATGGAAACAGCCAAAGGCCAGACCATACTCAGAGCCCCCAATTCAGAATCAAGAGAAGATTATTTTGGGTTCTTTGGGCTGAAGTGTTCGCCTCTTTCATGTCGCGGCAAAAGTTCACGGATAATGTTTATGGGCCAAAAAAGGACCAAACACAGATAGGGTCATATATGTGGGGCATGGTTCTTCTGTAATATATATTAAAAACAAACAGAGAGGAGAGAGACACCCTCTAATTATCGAGAGTACCATCTACTTGGCCATGTTTGAACTGGTAATCAAGGCATAGACGGGATGATTGATACCCACGGCAAAGCGTAAAGATGCCTTGCTGTAGTACTCCGGGTCAATGTTTTCGATATTATCGATGATAGTGTCGAGCAAGTGCGACTGGCCAACGGTGCTTCCGGGAACATGGGCTGTCACATACGTGATATGGACATGGAAATGGTCTACAGGTATTTACAATTTATAGCAATTATTAAAACCATAAACGTGTCTTTTTCAGTGCGTGGTAAAAAACTAGTACTTACAGTAGCTTGGATGGTAGTGCACAAACAAGCGCACCTCATCATGGGCCACATCTGGGAACATTTGCGGGACCATATCAAGCACCTTGTCACGGATGTTCTTGAGCATGGGCAGATGCACGGTCTTGAGATCGCGCAAGGAGCGGATGTCGCCTCGTTGAGAGATCGCCAAGAGGTAAAGTGAGGACATAGTGCGCCTGTCCCATTTGCTACACGTTACGCGCGATACATCAAGACGCGTTAACGGGCGCGTTAACGAGCGCATTCACATGCGCAAACTAAGTATGTGCGATAGTTTCTTACCTGTCTGGCAAAACAACGAAACCTTTGTCAGGGTCATTGTCCCGGAAGAAGACATTATCGGTTTCTTTGAGGCCCCTAAGGATGTTATAGACCCATTGGATCCTACTCGCAGGTTGTGCCTCGATCCAAGGCAGGACCGACTTTTGATAAACCTCTGCGGTCTCGGTGATCATCTTCCGCTCTTGGCGCGAGTACTTGGAGACATGCTTTACGCAAGAAGCAGAGTCAATTAGGTTAATATGATTGGTCACCAGCAAATTGGCCCTTAGTGCAAACAGGGTAAGTTCATGGAACGGCTCAAAGAGCAGCAGTACAAGCACATTAGGTCCTTACGGCTTCTGTTGCGGGGTAAATGACTGTCATTTTCAGGTCAGGATCGCTTGCATTCGCCGAGAGGATGGCATTCGACCAAAAGTAGATGTCATTGCTGCCAGTCGACAGTAGTTCTGTGATGCGGCGGGTGATGTCGCTCTCAGAGGACTGGGCTGCAAAGTGGGTCTTCTCTATGAGGAGGATCGCAGGCTGAATTGTGGCGGGATCAGTTGGCGAAGGGAGGCTGCCGAGGATCGCAATGGTCTTGAGAACGGGATCCTCATTCAAAACGCGTGCGAACTGGAAGTTAGACAGGGAGTTCATGGTGACAGAGGGGACTGATAAAAGATGAAAGTTGAGGTGTGGTATAGTGTGGTATAGTGTGGTTTTTGGTGTTTCAAGAAGCAGGAACAGGGGCGTGGACAGAAAGACGCCTCGTTTTTGGCACAGCAATCATCCAACCTTAAATGTCTCATGGCTTGTTTGTAGTTCCAATTACAGGTCAAATGAGTTCCTTTTTTTTTTTGTTTCCCTTCATTCCACTCCACTAATCCTCACCTTGACAGCCTCACTCCTCGCGCTACGCTTTAAAGCCAGCTTAAATTCACCCCCGCACCTTATGCCTGCATACGTTCATCGCTTTCAGCAACACCAATCCTGATCTTTGACGTTCAGGTACTTCAAAGGATTGATTTTTTTTCTTTTTTGGTGGCAAAAACAAACAAACTTATCTTCCCACACGAGCATGGGTACTCCGCTTCAGAGAGAGAGCCTGATCCCGCTCTCCTTGCTTTCCACGTCTGTCTTCGAGAAATCCAAGAAACCTCCCTCATCTGCTGCCAACGCCATACCAGTAGGGAACCGGAATCTCTCGACAGCAGCTGTTGTGTCCAAGACTTCTGCCGCCGAGTTGTTTTCAGAGGCTTTCGACAATCAGCAGGAGGAAGAAATCCGAGAGCGTCCAGTATTTAACGCCCAGGTTCAAAATAATCAACAAAGCCTATGCTAATGAGAAGGCAGGGATAGTTCGTCTAACTGACATGCTCCTTCACGTTATCATTAGAACCACCACAGGGGGTCTATGGAAATGAATCATTTCGTACAAGGACAGAGTCGTCGCGGAAGACAGTACTACGAAGGACCCAGCCGATCTGAACAATATCCACAGTCCATAGGATCAATACAAAACAGCGCACGAAGTTCAATCGCAGGCCCATCCAGCAAGAGGCGTATCGATGATGATTCGCCTGAGCCACGCAAGAGGGCTACAGGATCGAATATCGGGGACCGTCAGCCACGAATGGCCGCAGCGTCCACCATAATAGAAATCTCTGCAAATTCTTCGCCAGCTGATTCAGTCAGAGCAATGTCACCTGTGACGCCCTCCGATCATGCAGATCCAGATCAACGTGGCCGACATTCAATCGGCAATTCTTTGACGTCGAATCGCATTTCAGGAAGAGCAAGATCCAGATCTACTCAACGGCCCATCAGGAAACCATCGTCGACATCGTCTTCAAAGTCCAGGAGAACGAGAGGAAGGAAATCCACTAGAAATTCGTCAGAGGATTCATTATCACCGACGTCCTCTGATTCCGATACAGGGTCGTCGAGCTCTGAAGACCTTGGTTCTGAGCGAGAAGACTATCAAATAATTGCCCCGTCGACGATCAAACTGCATGGCGTGATACACGATTTGATGTTGGAGGTAAAAGCTTTTTTGTACCGTCATAGAACTATAATTATCTGGTTTTTTCAGGCCCTAATGCAAACCGTTCTATGCCTTTTGCTCTAGCTGGAACGAGCCCGTACCAAGCACGCTAAGTACTGCGAAAAGGTGAAGGCTTCTTCTCGAAAGATCAGGAATATCAGCAAGAAACTGGAGAAACGCTTCCGTCACTTGAGCGAAACTGTGTCTGCAATACCTACCCCACAGGGGCGAACACCAGCGGCGACCCGGATTGACATGGAGAGAGCAGTGTCAACACCAACTTCATTGACTATGCCTATGAGCACCCATTCCTCCGCGGTATCTCGAAAGGATCTACGTCAGCCGCTCGAGGACCAGACCACTCATTTCCACGTTGTACAACATCAGCAGCATGCTCCTCCCGAATCCCACTCGTCATCAAGACCTCCATCTTCAACATCTATCCGACTGGCATCACACGATGGTCGCACAACTATAGCGTCTTCCAATGTTGTCGAAACCCTGACGAATATTAATGCCGACGTCAGGCCCAAAGTATTCAGAAGAAAGGCCCGCAACATGGTGACCTATACACCCATCGCTGGTGCGGACATGAAGGAAGTGCTGGTAACAAGTTCTTTGGAGGGGTAAGTTATTATAGCAAAAAAGCAAAGCCCTTATCATGTTCTTTGTCATGTTTCCATGGAGCGGATTAAATTCAGGCATCATTACTCATCTTTATTCGACTATTACCTACTTTTGATTCTCTAGAACGATCGATTTTTGGGACTTGGCAGATCGAGAGGTGATCACTTCGATTCCGCAGAGCAGCTTGAACCAGCCTTGGTCAGAAGTCATTTGCTGGGTCGGGAAGAACGTGCTTGCAGTTGCCAGCGCCCATTCCAACAAACATCCACTTAACCACCAACTCGCGCTAGTTCATGTAAACAAACCCAGGACGCGGTCAGCTCTTGGACACGCTCGAGCAGGATTTACATGGAAGGTTCAGACACTGAAGGAAATGCCTCATAATGCTATTAGTGTTCATATGTCCGGTATTGGCTGCATCGCACCCGTATCGGACGACACAAACGAGATGCTCTTTGCAACCGGCGGAATGGACAAGCAGATTGTAAGTCTTAATGGAATGAAAATGACTGACATTATATATAGGTTCTTTTGATCTAACTATTGGCCGTTCATTTCTGCTCATTTCAGTTCGCTTGGCGCTTCTCTCATAAGAATAATGATGACGAATGTGTCCCGATCTCGCAGCAGGTGATCCATAGCAAGCACACGAGCAGTATCCAGGCGCTCTGCTACTCGCCTCATAATCACACGCTGTACTCTGGTGGTGCGGACCGGAAATTGATCGGCTGGGACATGGAGCGATCCAAGGTTGTGGTGGAGCACAAGAACTCTGGTAATCGCATCAACTCGATTGAGCAAAGCCCAGTTGATCCTCATCTGTTCCTGATCTCTGAAGCAGCGGCCAGTCACCAACTCTCATTACATGATAACAGGCAGAGATTTGGTGAGCCCGTGCTGCGGTTTGGTTCGAATGGGGCTGACAGTCTGTCGAAACAGATCGTGCCGTCGTGGCATCCCGGAGGTTCGGTTATTAGCTGTGGTATGCAGTCTGAAACCAAAATCAATATCTGGGACATCCGCTGGAAGGATGTGCAGCGAGGTGCAGGGCAGTCGATCGACGTGCATGGTATGCTTACAATTACAGTCAACTCGGATACTACTTGTACATTGATTATTATACTTTGTATCGGCGAACTAGACTAACTCTAATATGTGCGTGCATCTTTTTTCTGGACCATCATGGTCTATATAGAGTCACGCGTTTATAAGGCAGCTTTCCATCCCACGCAATCGTCTATGATATCAATGAGTTCCAACCAGCTCGCGTTCATGTAAGTCGCTGTGCCTGTGTATTGCATTGGAAATGGTCATTTTATTTGGAGCCCGTTATCTAAGATCCTTTTTTTTTTTTTTTTTTTTTCTGCCAACAACAATATAACAGCGACTTTCGTCTCAATCCAGGCACTATCGTGAATCGTTGAGCAGCGAGACCACCACAACCTGAACGGGAATATTCTAATAAATGGAATAAAAAGAAAGTCCTCCAGAGTAAGACCTGCCAAAAACGTTGTTTCAGGGTTTCAAAGCCGAAAAAAGGGCCCATGGCAACCAAGTCTCAGGCAGCGAATGTCAGAAGGGGACAAGTCAATCCACCGCCCGATTTGTGCTGCTGAACATGACAAAACGCGACAGCCGAACCCGCTATTGAGCCCCTGAAGGTCTCGTCTTTCAGACAAAGGAAACCATCTTAAAATGCCTCTTTGCAGGAGCTCTTTCAGCTTCTCATGGGATAGAGAGGCATCAGTCAACTGGCGATATACAATATAAATAGGCTGCTTGCTCTGAAAACTCAAGCCAGCATCCTGGTCGGCCTGTTGCGGACCCTGCTTAATTGAATGACCTCTAATTGCACATCCCCCAGTGTGAAGAAAGACGTCCACCGCCTTGTTCCTTCCTTTCAACATTCACTCCTCCGATCCTTCAGCTCCCCTCCATACCATCGCACTCCTCATACTCGTACTCGTACACGTTCCACGCCTCACACTTCACACTCCACGCTTCGATCGCGAAACACGACTCCTCCACATCCCTCATCTACATCTCTCCGTCGCCCCCTCTTCCTTTCTTCTTTTCTTTCCTGAGGGAAGACAGCACTTCCTTCGTCAATTGAGCAGGTACGAAACACATCGGTATATCCATCTCTCCTTTTCTCGCTCCTCTATCTCTTTCTCTCTCATTCTCGTAGCCCTTCCCTCATTCTTGATAGCCCACTTGTCCCCTTATCCACAGCTCCATCCCTTTTTCTCTTTCCTCGTGCACGTCTGAGCTGTAGCTAGCCAGCTTTGCTGCAGCCATCAATTGCTTCGTTTCCTTCTCTTGCCGAACCCCTACATTTCCTTCTGCTGCATATTCCCCTCCCAAAGGGTAATCCCCTATTGCGTATGTATAGACGTGTAGTTTCTTTTCTTACCTCCTTCCCTGAAATAGCAATTGGACTCTGGGGGAGGGGAGGAGGAGAGAGAGAGGAAGAGGAGGATGGGGGGGGGGTCAGTCCAGCCCAGCCCAGCCCAGCTCAACGCCATCTCAGCCCCAGCAGCTGCCTGCTCAATAATGCGTGTCGGTCTGAGTTTGTGTGTACCTTGCATATTCCCTCTCCCTCACGATTATTATCGCAAAACAACATCACAACAACACCATATAACGCAACACAACAGGGTGCCTGATTTTTTTTTTCGGAACTTTCCCCTGCCTTTATTTTCCTGTGTGGAACACAACAATAGCATCGGCATCTTTTGCCATCGTATCTTGTGTTTGTTGGCCGTGAGAAGAGGAATAATAATACTAATTAGAAGAAGAAGAAGAAGACATATAAGAGGAAGAAGCAATTGCAGCTCGGAGTGTCCTTCTTGGTCTGCTTCTTTTGTTCGTTGCTACCTTGGTCCCCTTTTCCTTCCTCAGTTTCCGCTGTTGCAGGTCGCTGTTTGTACCCCACAACCAGCACGTATTATCATTGGCGAGTATGGATGGATGTCTATTTGGAGACATCAAGTCATGCCCCTCCCCTCCCGTCCCCTCCCCCCCAAAATCACATCAAACCAAGCCAGCCCTCGTTCAATTCGCAGTTTCTCAAGTCAGACACACTCTCCTGGATGGCACCATGTATCCAGACCGACGTAGTGTGTTGTAGTCCATCTGTTCTGTCTACTGCGGATTGTGCGCTGCTACTGCTCCATCTGTTGTGTGCATGGATAGTTGAAGAGGAAGTACATATGCTGTTGCTGCTGCTGCTGCTGCATAACAGAGTGTGTAGCAAGAGAGTGAGAGAAAAGGACGCCGAGGTGGTGGGAACCACACATAAGCCGCCCCCCTCTTTCCTCCAATTCACATCACTGCTCATTCTCATTCCACACACACCCGTCCTGTCCTCATCCCCCCTCCCCATTCACGTTGCTCTCTCTCTGTTGTCCGTGTAAGAGTCCATCCCTCTGGCTGTGATTATGAATGGTATTCATAGACCACTACCGCTTGAACCTGACCTCGGCCAGCTGAAACCTAAAAAGAAAAAAAAAAGATTCCAATACGAAGCTTGCCGATCACCATCGTATTTGAAAACGCAATCCTGATCCATCGGACACTCTCACCCATCTGCCCCCTTGTCCTCCTCCTCCATCCTTCATCCCAGCCAGGGGTTTCTTCTATCGCACATACGCAGCTTGGACACAGCCCGAGTATCACTCAATCGCTCACCTAATCAACTCCCTCTTCCTCTGTACTGCTTCCCTTCACGCCTTCACAGCAGTTGTCTAGACTACGTTTCGGCCCCTTGGCTTACTTTTCGCGCCCTCCATACCAACGACAACGCCAAATCGCTAGCTGGGAACCAACATAACGCAACGCAACAAGTGAGGAGCAGTGGACTGTCTTTCAACCATGAACCCAACCTCGCCACACTATCCGCAGTATCCAACATCACCCGCCTACGACCGGGCATCGCCCACCCCCTCCTCTCCCTCTTCCCCAGCACCCTCGCACGACGGGAGTTACAAATCCGGCTCAAAGGGCAAGAAGCCGGCCTCAGCAGCCAGGCTGCCAGAGTCCCTTCTCTCCTCAACCATTGACTTTCCAAAACCCAAGCCAAGGAAAAAGCAACCCTCTGAGGTTGGGTCACCGGGTCCTGTCTCTGGCGCCGATTATCATACCGCACACCTCCCAACTGAGGAACCCGCCAATGAGGAGAACTCAGAAGAGGATGAGGCATCCAAGCAGGCTAAGGAAGATCCATTGGCAGCTCAGGTCTGGCGACTGTACACCAAGGCAAAGGACTCCCTGCCAAATGGCAAGCGCCTCGAAAATTTGACCTGGCGCATGATGGCGATGACCCTACACAAAAAGAACAAGGAAAAGGAGGATAAGGAGCGAGAGGGAAGTGCCATGGACCTGGAGCGCCCTGTGCCCGCTGGACAACCTAGGTATGTCAACATGGACCAATAGGAGTTGTTCAATTGCTGCAATGAATGATAGCATGGTACTCACAGGCGTTTCATTCTATTCCGCATGGAATTACAGTTACATGGATACGGTGAGCTCCAAGCCTATGCCCAGCATGAGCATCAGCATTCCTGGGCCTAATCAGCTCCACGGGGTCAACTCGGGACTGTACGACACCACTATGCAGTCAGACTCGGACGACGGTCACGACTCGCAATCGAACACATCTTCGACAGCGTCCTCTCCAAGGGAAATGAGGTTCAGCGGTATACCCACAATGACCCCGATCAAGAGTCCGGCGCACTCCCAGAACAGCAGCTTCAAATTCGGATCAGGATCATCATCGGTTTCGCCCACCTCACGTCAAAGGAAGGCCAACAGCATCAACAACAATAGTAACAGTAATCACTTCAATAATAACAGCATTCAGCACAACAACGCCGCGAAGAGTCCAACAGGATCTTTTGCGAACGGACTGACGCCCTCGCCCACCAACTCGATCTCGATAGACTTTGGCGCAGGCGCGACTGGGCCCTATAATTCTGGAGGCAGTTCCAGTAGTAGCAGGCCAACGCTCTCTCGAAGTTCGACAGGAGGTAAATCTGGACACTCGTCGAGCTCACGCAATAGCACGCACCGGCTATCAAGTTATCATGGAAAAGTATGCAGGATAACCATTGATTTTTTTAACGATCGCTGCTGCTCGCGGGCTAGAGACATGTTCTGAAACAGGTCCCTAATTGCCTTTCGCATCTTTCCGTTTGTTTCCTAGTCCATGTCAGGATCAGCAGCCGAGAAGCAAGCACAGTCGCAGGCGGTCAAGCAGACAAACTTACAGTCCGCGTCAACTGGCACGTTCCGCACCCCCATGTCCAACCCTTACCTCGGTAGCATCAACATCCCTCATGACGCTTCTTCAGGAGATTCCGACATTGAATCCTCACGACCCTCTTCACCGACCACGATCTTTCCTACGCAAACCTCTGGAAAATCGAAATCCAAAACGAAATCAAAGTCAAGGGATGAAGGGGTGCCTGTCAAGCAAGAGTCGCCGGTCCAGAAGAAGCTACTGGCGAACCCATCGGGTGCTGCGTTTGGCGTAAAGAGCGAGAACATGTCCGACTACAACACGAGTGAGAGTATGTTGGGCGCCAATCCATTAGGAGCAGCGGGCCAAAACATGTTCTATCCGGAATACTTGCTCGCCGCCGCTGCACAGCAACAGCAGCAGCAACTCCTTCAGCAGCAATTGCAATTACAGCAGATGCAACAGGGAGCCAATGATTTTGGCGAGGTGAATTATGGGGATTTGATCTCCATGATGAACTTTGGCAATGTCGATGGAGTAACTGGATTTATGCAGGACCCCGAGATGATGAACGCTCAGTTCTTTGGCACCACGAACGATTTGGGCGCGGGCTCACCTAATGGACAGTCCTCCGCGTTTATCAATCCAGCACAGCTCCTGCCATTCACGAACCAGCAGGGGTCGTTTTTCAATGACCAGTCTGCCTCGTTTGAGGTCGCAGGGATCAATGTCAGCCAACAAGGTTCCTCAGATACGGGTATGAGAGACGAGGCAGATATGGACACGGATGAAGCCGACAAGCCGGTGCCGGCGCTACCGCCAGTCTCGCAGCGGTCTACGAGCTCTAGTCACAAGGACGCTGGATGGAACCAGGACAACCACTCAACGACGAACAAGAAGACGCCACCGACGTCGTCTGGCTCATCCATCGTTCCTGGAAAGCGACCTCGGGCCCATGCCCGTCAGTCTGCAGAGGCCAAAGCAGAAGCAACAGGCAACAAGACGTTGGACGATTCTGGGGATGGCGGCCCTAACTCGGTGATGCAGCACTCGAATACCTCGGAAACGTCACTCTCTAATTCCGGCACGGATAACACCACGAGCGTACCCTTGATACCCACGAAATGCACAAACTGCGACACACAAACAACGCCTCTCTGGCGTCGTAATCCGGAGGGACTTCCTCTCTGTAATGCCTGTGGTCTGTTCTTGAAGCTACACGGTGTGGTTCGGCCGCTTAGTCTTAAGACGGACGTAATCAAGAAACGAAACCGAACAGGACCGAACGCCAATAATGCCAACAGCGCCAATGGTGCTAATGGTAGCAGTAGTAGCGGCAACAACACTAGCGGACAGTCAACAGGAGCAAGCGGAGATTCTCCAGAAAGCGCAAGTACAGGGTCAGGACCGGCCTCGAAGTCGTCTGAGGACCTGACTGCACCGGCTAAGTCTGGTAAGAATCTGCAACGTCGCAAGAGCGTGGAGTTGAACTCGATAGACGGCGTGCAGGACCAGAAGGATCCTATGAGCCTCAGTCTGCCCAAGGCGGGTCTACTCAGCTCAGCAGCGAATGCAAATTCTGCACCGACGACGCCGACGGGAGGAGCAATAGGAACCAACGCAGATGGATTGAGTCTAGCGAACGGAGGCGTCAATGCGGCGGGCTCGTCGTCGGCTTCAGGGCCTTCGTCGACTAGTTTCCTGCCGTCGCACAGCTTTCCCAAGCGACAGAGGCGGTTCTCGTCAGACTCGAAGAGCGCGGCAGCAGCGGCTCAACAGCAGGCCGCTGAAGCACAGGCGACAAGACCCTTGTCTGCGAAGCAGAAGCAGCAGCAGCAGAAGCAGCAGCAGTTGAAACAGCATCAGCAGCCACAGCAACACTCAGCAGTGCAGCAACAGCAGCAGCATCCGACAACGCAACAAGGATTTCCGTCGCCACAGAGTATTCTTCAGCAACATCAGGCGCTTTCAGATCAACAGCGGCTCGCATTGCAGCAACAGCAGCAGCAACAACAGCAACAACAACAGCAGCAGCAGCAGCAGGATACCTTGCAGCAGGCGGGCTTGGGCTCTGTGGCAGCAGGGTTGGACCCTTCACAACTGCAACTGCCATATGCGTTTACGACATTGCCGTTATCGCAGCAGCAACAGGGTGTGGCGACGTTGGAGCGAGCACAGCAGTTGATGTACCAGGATATGTTGAATCGTCGTCGTCAACAGCAGCAGGAACAACAGCAGCGTCAACAGCAGCAACAGCAGCAACAGCAGCAGCAACAGCAACAACAGCAGCAGCAGCAGCAACAACAACAGCTTCAGCAGCAGCAGGCGATTATGGCGTATCTAAAACGGCAGCAGCAGATCCAGAATATGGATAGCTCTTTGACCCCACAGCAGCAGCAGCAGCAGCTCCAGTTGTTGCAGCAACAGCAGCAGTTCTTGCAGCAGCAGCAGCAGCAACAACAACAACAGCAACAGCCGGCGATTATGACGACGACGAATGGCAAGATGATGAATGCATCATCATTTGGGACAACCTCCGCAGCAGCAGCGGCAGCAGCCGCAATGGCAGGATTGGGAGGAGGTGGGCTGACGAGCGGAGCGGGAATGATGGGCGGATTGACAGTAGGAGCCGGGATAGGAGGAGTCGGGGTACAGAACCCGATGGCGATGTTTAACGGAGACTGGTCGAATCTGGATCTGAGCTCGGCGGCAGCAGCAGCGGCGGCGGCCGGAGTGACGTCTCCACCGTTGCAGTTGAGTACCGGGGCGCAGCTGGGGATCTCGACGGGGATGATGTCGATTGAACAACAGCAGCAGGCGCATGCGATGCTGGTCGCGCAGTACCGGGCCAAGATTGCGGGGGGACAGAACCGTTAAAAAAGGGGGAGGGAGGGAGGGATTTCTGACGGTGTCAAAAATCAAATACACCAATCAGGGGGAGGAAGGCTTATTATATTTTAGCTTGCGTACTTTCGGACACATGGACGCACAGACATTTCAATCGCAAGTTTTGAACGCGTTTTTTTTTTTTTTTTTTTTTTTAAGATACGCATTTTCGAGCCGAGATACACACACACACATTCACTCACTCATACTCACAACATTCACCGACTCGCAAACCTCCTCACTCATTCATTGTTTTTGTATTTCCATTCGTCATCTTCCCTCCCCTTTGTGTTGTATATTTCTTTGGATAACAATAAACTATCCTGCAGTCCTATATATTCCCAAGAAACAACAATAAAAACCAAAATACACGCACGCTATATGGTTGCAAAGTGGTTTTGGGCATTATGGATACATTCAATCGCAAATGACCTGTTATTTCCTCACGACGGTCTAGCGTGTAAGACTCTACATGGAGATAGTGTTGGTTTAGATATGAGCTCTATTAGCAGTAGTACGACTGCTGAGCCGCCGGACTCTTATTCTCATTCTTGTTGTTCTTGATATTCTTGTTGTTTCTGCTCTTGTTGGTAATGATGCTGGTGATGATGCTGCTGGTGATGTAGGCCTTCTTCAGCAGAGACACTCTGCTCCTCATAATCCTGTTTGTTCTCGACCCTCCATTTGTTGAACGCGATCCCCATGGTGCAGAGCATGATCAAGGAGGCACCGAGGGCGGTGAAGAGATCTGGGCGCCTGTGTTGGATCGTGGTTTGGTAATGGAATGCAAAGATGATTTCGATCATCCGCATCAATGGTTCGGAACCTAGCGGAGCTAATTGCAGGCTGTTAACAGAGAGAGAGAGAGAGAGAGAGAGAGAGAGAGAGAGAGAGAGAGAGAGAGAGAAGGATTCAGTAATAATAAATAATAATAATAATAGTAATAATAATAATAATAGTAATAATAATAATAATAGTAATAATAATAATAATAGTAATAATAAAAGGAAAGAAAATGACAAGCAGAAGCAAAGTAGAAAAATGGATGGATTGAGTAAAATAAAGAGATGGGAATGTGGATGTGGATGTATAGAAAACACACTAATAAAGCGGGTCTTTCCTTCTCTTTTTTTTTTTTGAAGTCGATCTCTTCGACGAGAGAATGTTCGGGGGACTGAAACCGAAAAAGGCTTTTACCCAGAGTTCAGGAGGACCTGTCCGGTAAAGGCGGAGACACCTAGCAGAATGAGACTGGACCACATGTGGGTATTCTGTGGGGGGACGTAGCCATCCTGGAGGGTGTAAAGGCCAAGGATGCTGAGGAGACAAGAGACAGCGCCGAAATAGGTGACATGCTGCATTGAGTGAGCGCCTTGCTGACCGATCTTGCGGACTAGTACATATGACTATGAAGAACATATGATGGGCGTAAATTGCGGTGTCGCAAAGGAATGTGCTTGAGTGTATCCTGTGATGCGAAATGAAAAGAGAAAAGGGAGTCCAGGTTTTGGATGATCTAAACGGTAAGGAAAAAAAAGAAGAAAAACATCTGGAGGATTCATTGACGGGGATAACGAAGCGAGCACGCCATGGCGATAGAGGAATTTATATATATATATATATATATATATATATATTCCGCAGAAGATGAAGATAGTGGCAGAGAGAGCTCGCATTACAAGGAGCAAAAGGCAAATACAGTTAAACAATACTCACAATCGCAGTCCATATCGCTCCACAGACTGCTGCAATCGCACCAAACATCCGACAATGGTCTTCCTCATTTTCATACTCTCTCTGGAGCAGCATCATCATCACTGCAGATCCACCTTCACCGTCGTGTTCAGGCAGAGGGAACAAAACCGATGGCTTCGCAACCAGGACCACTCCCACCATCGACACCGTTAACGCTAATGCATCAAGTGGCCCAAATGGTTCCTTCAGCGCAATCCTTCCCAGGATTGCTGTGAACATTGGTGCTAGATAGAAGATCACCGTTGCATCTGCAAGAGGCATGACACTCAGAGCATAGAAGTAGAACCCCAATCCAAAGGATCCGGCAAGACCTCGACAGAACAAAAGGAAGCGGACACCGGGATTGCCGAGAGGAGAGATCCCGAGATGACGACAGGCAAGGACACCGAGGAAGGTTTGGATGATACCCCGGAAGAGGAGGATCTGGAAGGACGGAAGAGACTTGGCGGTGAGAGAGACGAGGAGGGCCATGAAGGAGAAGAAGAGGGCAGAAAGGGTCATGTAGATCAGACCCCTGGTTTCATGGTGGGGTTGGATAGAGGAAGGAGCGGTGGTACGAGAGGGAGTGGAGGCATTGGAGGCAACCAATAATGGGCTGGACTCTGTGAGAGTGACCATTGTTGTTCTTTGAAGGAGGAACAAAAGAGTGGGTAAGTGAGCGTGAGAAAAGAAGAGTGCGAGGAAGAAGAATAAAAAGTAGAAGACGAAGAGTTGTTTAGCCCCTAGGCATCTCCTTAGACATATCCTTATCATGCAGAGGGAAAGGGGATGGCGAATAAGGCCTTCGCAAAAGGATAATGAATAGTCATGAGTAGGCTCGAGCACATTTCAACAAGAAGTCAACGGCAGCTTATGCACTGCGTATTATATAAGGATCCTTCTGGGCTTCTTCTCTTCCACTTCCATCTTCACCCTCTTTTCTTTCTTTACTCTTATCGGCTCCACCTATGCATCTACGCACAACAATGCTACAACCACATATCCTACAGCAACTCCGTAGCAACGCTTCGACGAAACGGCTCTGCGCGTTTGCTCCCGCTTTTCTATAACATAATGCAACGCAACGCAGCATAGCACAGTTCAACCGCTCAGCCCGAACGGTTTTAAACTTCGCACCTGTGGCGGAAAGGGGGGACAACCTCTATGGCAAAGTGCTGCTGGTAGTTAACCACCGACTGCAATGATGACGCCACAACAGCAGGTAGGACAACAGCGGAGAGGTCGTCCGAAGAAGCCGCATGCATCCGAGGAATCAATGTCAACGATACGACGCAACGTGGCCGCAGTAGTCGATCATACAAATAGCGCGATCAGGTATCAAATTTCAAAAGAAAAGCAGTTCCTGGCCAATATGACGGACGTTACAGATATTTGAGACTCGACGCTCAGTTCCCACACCGTGTTAATGCATGGATGGAAGGAATGAATGAATGTGCGCTACGGCTCCTACGGCCTTGCCTTCGCTTCAGTATGCCTACTAACTGCTTGCTAATCCGAACAGGAGTTTTGTGAGAGATATCGCGGGTCCTGATGGCCAAGCGTTGTACCTCGTGGATTTGGCAGAGAAACTCGCCGTATTTTTTTTATTTATTTTATTTTTGAAGAGAACGTGCTAGTGCGGATCATTACCAAGCACATCAAAAGCATAAAGTAAAGCAACGCGCAACAGAATTATGAGAATTTACGAGAATAGAGACATGATGTATTTATTCCAGTTAAAATGACGCATTATGTAGCGATACTCCCCAGATACCAATGCGACATCGCATTGAGATAGTATCTTAATTAATGGAGCCTCATGAAGAGCAATGGTAGTGCCTAAGGCTCCTTCTTGTAAGCAGAACAGTTCTTTTTCAGGCTTGTGCAGCGCGCGTTGCCTAGAGTCGTCACCCTTTTCCCGTTTGGCAGCTGGCCCTCTCTCTTCGTTCTATTGTCCCTTCCATTGATATGACACTGTACTACAATGCCACTGCACTTCGTCTCCTTGCCGACATTATCACAAGAACAAGTACAACATACCTGGGACAGCAAGAATAAAGAGAGTCCTTATACCTTTCTACACCTGCCCAATACGCGTACGTTGAATATTTACAGTTCTGAGTATAAAGTGAGGCGATATGGATCAATATGTTACAGCGATAACTTGAACTCCTCGGATTACCTCAACACCTATTGTAACGCAATGGTACTCTGGGGCCAGCAAGCTTGTACACTTTATCTTCAAATTAAGTCCCAGACCAATAAGAGCAGCCAAGTCTGGCTACGCTTGCGTGTTGTGGCACAACGATGTGCGCTGATACAGCTTCATTGTCAGCGCTTTTTATATATTTCAACTTCTGGCAGATATGTCTATAAACGACTGCAAGAGTGAGTTGTAACAAAGTATCTGTGCCTGTAACCCCGCTCGAAGACATGGTGAAGCCTGTGTTGGAGGATGAGCCTGGAGTCGTTGCCTAGCATGATTAGAGTCAGTACAAGGGCCTGCCAGGTCCCGCGCATACTACGTGGCATACTATGGGCAGGGTGTTCGAGTTTCCACGCTGAGTACCATCGGCTCCAAGAAGACTCAAGGAGGTCGCCACGTTGGTACTATCGGGACCCACAAACTGGACAAACGACAAGAGGGTATCAAGGACAGAGAGTGATGGAATACCTTGGTTGCCTTTGAGACTGCAAGGAAGCAGAAAAAAAAAAGATGTCACATAGACACTACACCAGTCAGGGGGAACACATGGGCGCACAGACATTTGATCGCAAGTTTTGAACGCATTTTTTTTTTAAGAGACGCGTTTTCGTGTCGAGAAACATACACACACAAACATACACTCATAACATTCGCCCGACTCGCAGACCTCGTCACTCATCCCTCGTTTTTTTTTGTATTTTCATTCAGCGTCTTTCTCTCCTCTTTGCGTCGTATGCTTCTCTGAATACAACAAGCCATCCTAAAATCCTACATATTCCTCTCCGAAATAAAAAAAAGCACACAATGTGGCTACAAAATGCTTGGACGCTTTGGATGCATACAGTCGCAATGGCCAATTTGACATGTGGAATGCTCTATCGATCTTTTTTCTTTATTTAATTTCCTCACGATGATCTAGTGTCCAAGGAACCCGAACGGAAGTAGTATCGATTAACTTGGTTGTGTTTAGTAACACTACTGCTGTGCCACCTCTTGTTGTTGTTGTTGTTGTTGTTGTTGCTGTTGTTGTTGTTCCTGACGAGCTCGATTTTTCTCAATTCTCCATTTGTTGAGGGCCATCCCACCGGTGCAGATCATGACCAAGGAGGCACCAAGCCAGCTGAACAGATCTGGGTGCTCGTGTTGGACCGTGATCTGGAAGAGGAACGCGAAGACAATGTCATTCATTCGCATCAATGTTCCCGGGCCGAGTGGAGCTAACTGCAGGCTGTTAGCAGGAGAGAAGAATGGAAGGTAAAAATGACAGCAAGAGCGGAGTAGAAAACAGGAATGAGTTAGTAATGAGATGAGAATGTGGATGTGAACACATAGCATAGTATTTTCGATGCATCCCTCGACATGAAAGTGTCCAAGGATTTGTGAAGACTTTACCCAGAGTTCAGGAGGATTTGTCCGATGAAGGCGGAGACACCTAGCAGGATGAGACCGGACCACATGCGGGTGCTCTGTGGGGGGACGTAGCCACCCTGGAGGGTGTAAAGGCCAAGGATGCTGAGGAGACAAGAGACAGCGCCGAAATAGGTGACATGCTGCATCGAGTGGGCACCTTGCTTACCGATCTTGCGGACTAGTACGTATGCCTATGAAGAACATATGGTGGGCGTAAATTGCGTGGTCGCAAGTGGAGAAAGAGAGAGAAATGCGTAACCGGAGAAAATCAAAGAAAAGGGTCAGATGGCAAGAGAGAGAGAGTTCATGCCGGGTGTATTCCCGTATAGACCGCCAGGCGCGGTGATACCATCCATCGTGAATGGGGACTGTAAGGGAAAAAAATAGGATCTTTCGGAGGAATCGTTGACGAGGAATAGCGAGGCGAGCACGCCATGGCGATGGAAGTCAGGTTTTTCTGTATTCCGCAGAAAAAAAGCTAGAGAGAAATAAGGTTTTGCTTTCTTCCGGGCCTAAAGAATGAGAGGCACTTCCCCCCAAAAAACACAGTTGACACAACCAACATTCTTGCGCATTGTGCAAATACAACTGGACAATACTTACAACTGCAGAACACATCGCTCCACAGACCGCTGCAACCGCACCAAACAACCGACGACGGTCCTCCTCATTTTCATACTCTCTTTGGAGTAGCATCATCATCACCGCAGATCCACCCTCACCGCCGTGTTCAGGCAGAGGGAACAAAACCGATGGCTTCGCAACCAGGACCACTCCCACCATCGACACCGTCGACGCTAATGCATCAAGTGGCCCAAACGGTTCCTTCAACACAATCCTTCCCAGGATTGCTGTGAACATTGGTCCCAGAAAGAAGATCACTGTGGCATCTGCAAGAGGCATGACACTCAGAGCATAGAAGAAGAATCCCAATCCACAGGATCCGGCAAGACCTCGACAGAACAAAAGGAAGCGGACACCGGGATTGCCGAGAGGAGAGATCCCGAGGTAATGACAGGCAAGGACGCCGAGGAGGGTTTGGATGACACCTCGGAAGAGGACAATCTGGAAGGATGGAAGGGACTTGGCGGTGAGAGAGACGAGGAGGGACATGAAGGAGAAGAAGAGGGCAGAGAGGGTCATGTAGATCAGACCTCTGGTTTCATGGCGAGGCTGAATAGAAGAAGGAACGGTTGTACGAGAGGGAGCGGAGGCATTGGAGGCAGCCAGTAATGGACTGGACTCTGTGTGAGAGACCATTGTTGTTTTTTGAAGGAGGAGTGAAGGCGGAGTGAGATAGAGAGAGAAAGAGAAAGAGAGAAAAAAAAAAGAATGTGAAGAAGGCTATTTGGTCCCTGGGAAAATCCTATCATGTGACCCTTGACTACCCCTGAATGGCAAAGGGAGAGTCGTTGCCGCGCTTTTTGTTGCTGTCAAAGGCAGTGAGTGCATGGCGCAGAAGGAGAAGAGAAGGAGCGCTGCAACATATCCTGGATGGGTCCCTGCTCTACACCTCCAGTTCCAATGGCTGATTACTGCGTGTACTGCGCGCACTGCGTATTGCACCGGGCTCCTTCGTGGCTCCTTTTTCTGGGGCTGGTGGCAAAGAGGAAAGTTAGCCTCGATAGCACTGCACAAAGAACCTGTTTCTGCCTTGTTTCTTTGTCTTCATTGTCGTTGCTGTGGAAAAAGGAACATCCCTCTCCTCTTCAAGGACAAGTTAGTTCTAGTCTTTTTTTACCAGTTTCAGGCGCCAACTGTTATTTCTTCGCTTATTTTTCTCACTTTGCTCATTCCTTCACCCATCGCTTCTCTTCGCCCATTCATTCATTCATTCATTCATTCATTCCTCCGTCACTCCTCGTCCTTGACTTCATTCACACTCAAACTCAAACTCCCCCCCTCCATTACCTTCACTTCACCTCACCGTCTCCCTCACTGAACGCACCTGTCATAGGATTCTATATCAAGTTTAGGTTTCAACACAGCTTATCACCCCCAGGTAGAAACACCCTTCATTGTAATATTGTTTGCCTGTCTATATGCTATGCAGCAGTGGTCATTGCATTAACTAATTATCAACAACAGCCCTGCCCTGTAGAGAAATGAACCGGACGTCTTTGTACAGCTCCTCGCACGGCTCAGCCCCGGTGCCTCCGCCTCGTCCAAAGAGTGACCTCATGTCTGCCCCTTTACGCTCGCTCCCTCCTCCTCCACCACTGCCGCCCGTGAATTCCACCAATCCCGCTCCACCAAAGAGACCGGTGCCCATGGTCCCACCGAAACGCACACTTCCTCTTCGTCCTTCTTCACCCACCTCAGAATCTGTCCCATCATCACAGTCAGATACTCACTCTGATACCAATGCATCGTCTCATATGCTCTTGAGACCAACTGCTCTCGCTTCCATCGCAAAGCCCGATCGCCCTGTGCCGTCACTTCCAGGAAGACTCAACGATCCCCCCTCAACCCCCAGCAGGCCGGTTCCGGTTCCTCGTCCAAAGGGCATCATCGTTGCAAAACCTCCTGTCCCTCGTCCCACTTCAGTTGCATCAATCGCATCTAATGGCGCCCCTGAGTGCGTGGCATCATCACCCATCCAGGAAGAAGTTGCCCAGTCCAAACGCCCTATTCCGGCACTAGCTTCGATCGAAAGAGAGAAACGCCTACCACCTAGGAACCCGGTCGAGATTCCAAAACGTGTGACACCTGTTGCTCCAACGCCAGCTGAACCTATAAAGCGAAACGGTCTCGTGCTACCAAAGCGGAGTGTTCCTCATACCCCTGCGGATGCTGAATCCCCAGAACGAGTGGTTCTTCCTCCGAAGCGCCTTGTTCCTGCACAGCCTACACCAGTCGAGCTTCCAAAACGAGTTGTGCCTCCACCTCCTCCGACCGCTGTAAAGACTGTGGAGACAAAGCAGGAGACGCCATCGCCGCCTGTCCCGAGTCTGACAGTGTCACAAATCTTGAAAAAGATTCAAGATGAGAGTGGGCGCTTGCACGACGGGGCTGATGTCTCAACGTCGCATCCAGCGCCGCCTTCGAAACCTCCTAGGCTCCCATCCACCATCATGCCTTTAGTCAAGGCAGTAGAGACAACACCATCGCTTCCTCAGCGACCCACACTCCCGGCAAGGCCGAGTCTGCCCCAACGCCCGACACCCCCACAAAGGCCAGAGTTCCCAGAACGACCAAAGTTCCCAGGACGACCAGAGTTCCCAGAGCGACCAGAGTTCCCGCAGAAACCAGGGTTGCCGCAGAGACCAGGGTTGCCACAGAGACCAGAGTTGCCACAACGACCTACTCTGCCAAAGAGGCCGGAACAGCGTGTTGTACACGATCATCATTCATCGTCCCATACGTCCTCAACAACGACAGCGACGGCCAACGGATCTGGTAGTCGTACGGTGCACAATTCCAGCAATTACGCCGCCTCGTCGTCGTATTCGTCAAATTCCTGCTCCATTTTCAAGCCAGGGGACGATCCCATTGCGTTCCTGGAGAAATCAGCACCTGTGTTCACAAACGAATTTGAAGGCGAACGCCTGGATCTGGCGATGGCCGACTTTTCGGTCCAGGACGATCACGCGCGAGCGTGTCCTCGATCGGAGGAAGAGAGTATCGCCCGATTATCGTATTATTTGACATCGCCCTTCCCGGGGGACCAGGTCGCGCAGCTGCGGGCGATCTTTACGTGGATCGGACATAATATCATATACAACCTCAGAGGGTTCAAGACCGGGCAGTTGGGCGATAATTCTGCGGAGGCTGTGCTCAGGACCAAGACGGGCGTCTGTGCAGGATTCGCGAATTTGTTCTCGGCGTTGGCGGAACCCCAGGGACTTGGGGTGACGCAGGTGTATGGCGTAGCGCGAGGGTATGGGATTGAGGTCGGAGGGGAGTCGCTTGGAGGAGCACATGCGTGGAACGCGGTGGCGATCCGAGGAGAAAGGCTGTTGATTGATTCGACCTGGGGCGCCGGGATGGATTGTGAGACGACGGGACAGACCAAGAAATTCGCGCCCCATTATTTCTTGACGAGACCGGAAGTTTTGATTTATACTCATTGGCCGAATCGGGGGGAGGAACAGTTTTTAGATCCACCGATCGGAGTGGAGGTGTACAGAGCGTTGCCGTTTAGGACCTCGGAGTCATGGACGCTAGGGATTGTGCCGGTGGGGAAGGATGCGACGCATACGGTGTGGGCGGAGGATGATTTTGTGGAGCTGGAAATTAAGGTGCTGAAGCGTTCTTGGGATGGACAAATGATGAGCTTACCCGGAGCGCATTTGGACTGGAAGCCGACGGGCGAGAAATTGCAGATGCCGATTCACTGGACGGCGGAGGATGAAGAGAGTGTGCAGATGAGGATCCGGTTCTTTTGTCCCACAACTGGGGATGGTACGCTGATGGTATGGGGTCGTTCCTTTGGGGGGATGGAGCTGCAAGGAGCAGGGGCGTTGCAGTACAGGATTGTGAACGAGGGTACCGGAGAGAATGCGCAGCAGATGATGCAGATGTATGGGGCTATGGGATTCGGGTTCTCGATCTTGGAGCCAATGACGGCGACGGTGCAGAGTGGAAAGAAACAGAAGGTACGGGTGAAGATTTATGGGATCGCTCCTGGAGTGGCGGCACCAAGACCGGTGTTGATGGGAGGATTCTTGCCGGAGCCGATGAGGGAGATTGGGGAAGGGTTATATGAGATCGAGAAGACGATGCGACCGGGACAGTATCGGGTTGGGTATATGCAAGGCATGTCCGTCGCCGGACTGGGAACCTTTGACGCCGTTTGAAGGGCGTTCCTTCCTCCCCTATGTTCAAGTCATCAAAGTAATAAAAGTGATCTTATGAAGCTCAATCGTTCCTTTTGCGGAGGAAATTCTATGAGGTCCTTGTCTTGTGGGTCCTTCCTTTGCATACAAGCATACAAGTCGAAGGGTCGCGTATTATATTTTTTATTTCTATGAGTGTTACAAAAATCCTACTTGTCGCGCTTAACATCAATACTCTTCACAAACTCTTTGACTTTCTGTGGAGGCTACAAAGGAAAAAGAAGAGAGCAAAAATAGATGTCAAATGTCAGAAAGCAAAAAAAAAAAAAATTGAATTCCAGTATGGCGTCTGCATCTGCATCTGCAGCTGCATCCGGGATCTGCATGTGCCTCCGTCTACGATAATGCACACTGGCTCGCCGAACTTACATCCCCAACGAATGCTTTGGCTCTATTCCAATCGATAATCAAAGGTTTCCTCATCAAAACCGGCTGCTTTTCTAGGATCTCCTGAAGCTCTGTAAGGGTCGAAGCTTTGGGTGCTTCTGGAAGAAGGATTTCCTCTAAAGCCGTGGGGCCCATGAATTCAACGATATTGGCGAGCTGTTGATGGGTTGGAGGGAAGCTCTTGGTCTGAACGAGATCAATCTCGTACTTTTTAGCATTAGCACCCTTTTTGAGGAGGCGGAGGGCTTCGATGGATATTCTGGAAGAAGGGTTGTGAAAGAGGGTGACCATAGGGAGCTTTGTGAGACGCGATGCCATTTTTTGAAGAGAGAGAGAAAAAAAATGGTCAGAGTAGATGTGAAGGAGTGAAGCGATGGGGAGTTTGGTTGTCGGTTGTAAGAAGCTGGGTTGATGAGAAGGAGGTGTGAGATCAGGATTGAATGAGCATGTGTGTTTATCCCATGAATCAGTTATGACGCAGTAGGGGGTCCCAAAAAGGAAAGAGTGCAATTGGCCCAGGGGTTTGGTGGCAATGCTTGGGCAGGGTACGCGCGCTTTCGTCTGTCCATGTCCATGTCCAAGAAGGTGGCGCGCATGGACCCTCCGTTCGCTTGAGCAATGGCCAATCAGAGACAGTGCGTGTGCAGACGGTGCTCACTTTGAAGGATGAAGAAAAGAACCATGGAAAGAATGAAAGGGGGAAAGAAAGAGCAGCCTCGACACGCCTTTCCATCGGTTCCTTTGTTTCCCATTTATTGTTCTTTATTGTTCAGTGCCAATGGACGAATTGGAAACGGTTGCACCAGGCACCCCCTCCCCGTGGCGACCAATGAACTTTTTAATGAAAAAGGCCCTTTTTTTCATTGCATTAAACCATATCCACAAGGTGCACCTATTACCCATCATGATGAAGGAAAATAAGAATTAAAGAAGGGCTCTCTTGTGAATGAATCATTACATTCGAATCCGATAGTTGTAACTTGTATCCATAGACCATTCCCTTCGTGGCAGTGACAGTGGCAGTGGCCAATGGTATCATCATATGCACATGTAGCCTATATAACCCCACGGACATATGCCTATCCTCTCTCCCACCTTCTCACTCCCTTTCCCGAAGCAAGAAAACCACCTCGAAAAACATATCCACCTTCCGGTGTTTCGTCGGTCCCTTTTTTTTGAGTGCCGATCGATCCCCTATTGATAGTCATCAGGATCATCATCATCATCATTATTCATTGCAGTGTAACAAGCCCCTCGAGTCCCCTTTCTTCAACGGCTCCGACTGAGTGTGTAACCCGCGCTCTATGCCTGCTGACTTCGCCCTGGAACCCCCTTTTTTTCAATGTTACTTCACTTGCGCGAAGCGATAAAAATAATATATGGATAACATCATCACATAATCCTCTTCCCCCCTTACATCTTCGATTCTTCTTCCTCTTTCCTCTTTTCCTCTTTCTCACACATCACTCTCACTTTCACACTCTGCACTTTACATATCCTTTACAGCTGCAGCTGATACCTTCATTCCCGCCTTCGCCAACGACAAACCTACCTTAACTCGACTCAAGCACACCAATCAAATACGTACAGAACAATTAGTAAGAGAACATGAGCGAGTTCAATACCGACAGCGACAGCACCGTCATTAGCATCAGTGCGGCCAGTGCCGTTCAGGATACCGCCGACCATGGCGCCAGTACAAGGACCGGCAACGGTACCATTGACACCAAAACCAGGAGCACAGCGGATTCATCCGCTCCACCCGCAGCAGCAATTGCTTCTTCTTCCACTCCTCCTCCTTCCGCTCCATCCGCAGTAGCAATTGCTTCATCTACTCCTCTTCCTTCCGCTCTATCCATCTCCTCTGCGACCGCAGATACCACCAACACCAACACCACTGCAACCACAGCTTCAGAGACAGCTGAACGTGGTGACGACTCTAACAAGGCCACGCTCGCCGCTGCTACACTGCCATCAAAACCTCCGGCTATCCTTCTACCACCTGTCGAAATCGAACCAACTGCATCGAACAAGAAGAACGATAAGGACGATAGCAACAAGGAGAACGTCGATCCTGTCAAGCCAGTACCGAAACTAAGGACGCCCACTGCTAGCGCATCTAAGATAACCAAGCCTGCGACTAGCACAGGCGCTGCAACGAAGAAGCCATTGTCTACATCTGCGTCTGCGTCCACAGCCAAAGCAGCAGCAGGATCGACCACACCTGCCAAGACATCATCGTGTGGTAGGCTCAAAGAAGCGGCCACACCCATACCAAGGACATTCCTCATTTCAGCCTCCAAGCAACGACCTGTGACCCCAGTCAGTGTAAAAAGCGGCTCGTCCTCGTCTGTTCCTACTACTTCATCATCATCAGCCTCTACTACTCGACCCGCTCTAGCAACTAGCCGGACGGCTTCCGCGACCGCTGTCTCGAGATCACTGGCCGTTCCGCCTACCACAATCCGAAGGTCGCCCTCGACACCATCTCTTCCGAGCGCTAGCACGGGTACCACGCGCACGATATCCAGTGCAGGACGAAGAGTCGCCTCGAGCTCTAGTGTAAGCACAGGATCATCTCCGCGCACGAGTCCTGCAGTCACGCCTTCGATCACCAGGACTTTTAGCCAAACATCCCTCGCGTCGACGGTCTCGAGTAGCCCCGCTAGGCGGCCACCCTTGAGGAGTACCGCTTCTTCGCCCTCGTCGGCTTTACCACTGGCCAGTCGTCCGACTGCGACGAGGACTAATACCTCTACATCAACAAGTTCAGTGACTTCGAGTCCTTTGGGAGTCAGTCGTAGGACACCATCTAGTTCTACGAATCCGTCACCGAATTCAAGTTTGCGTCAGCCTTCGACTAGGACGACGACGACGACACGACTGACGGCGGCACAGGCGGTTACGCCGACGAGCAGTATCCGAAAGACACCGACATCGACAACGGCGGCCGGTGCTTCGACACGGACTACGACTTCTGGAGGCGTCACTCGACCGATTACGGATGCTGTCAAGGTCAAGATGTTGAGTACACAGCTGAACGGGCTTCAGGAGAAGGTACGAAAAAGCGCTTGATTTTTTTTTTTTTTTTTTTTTTTTTTTTTGCTTGATCTTTGTGCGCATGTGGTTCGCACTGTGGATTCTAATGCGCCTTTTTCTTTTTTTGCTTGCTTGCTTGCTTACTTGTTTGTTTGCTTGTGTCTTTGTTTGTTGGTTTTTTTTTTTTTTTTTTTTTTTTTTTTTTTCGACAGCATGACAACACCCTGAAGCTTCTGCAGGAACAAGAAGAACGGATGAGGCGAGAGCTCGAAGAATTGACGTTCACGCCTGAACCCCAACGGAAGCCGATCTCGTCCGATGTGCAGCAGGTTCTGCAGGAGATGGAGGATTTGAGGAAACAATTCAGTGATGCACAGATCCATCATGCCAAGGCCCTCGAGGACATCGCGGCCGAACGCGCACTCGAGATCTCGATGCTCAGGGAGACTCATGAGGCCTTGTTATCGGCTATGACGGCGGAGAGGGATGCTGTTGCTGAATCCCTGAAGGTATGAAAAAAAAAAAAAAAAAAAAAAAAAAAAAGTGGAACAAAATGTTTTTCACATGGTATTTGAATCAGTCGGGATGAAAATTTCTAATAACGCGATGAATTTATAAAAAAAAAAAAAAAATTATAACAATAGGCGCTGCAAGAGTCGGGCGAGTTGAGCGAACGCGAAAAAGATGCCAAGGTCAAAGAACTTGAGGCCCAAATGGAGGCGTCTCTTCAAAGCCAAGCGGAAGCGGTTGCAGTGCACGCAGAGGCGTTGGAAGCCCTTCGTGCTGATATCGAATCTGCCTGGACGATGAAACACGATGCCGAGGTCCAGGAGCTGATCAGGGTACATGAGGAGCAGATCACGGCCCTGACAGAGTCTGGGAACTCGAAAGATTCAGAGATTCAGGAGCTTAAGGATTCATTTGCTCAGCAGATCAAGGACCTAGAGGAAGTGCAAGAGTCGCGGATGTTGGAGCTGGTCACGAAGCATGAGACTGAGGTCCAGGAATGGGAAAATAAGCTGACGAGCGACAAGGAGGCCCATGAGGAGCTGATTGGGCAATTGAAGCAAGAGCATTTGGGGACTATGGAGAAGATCACAGCGGAACTGCAGGCGGTTCAGGCAAGTCAGGTAGAAGCAGAGCAGGAGCTGGAACGGGTGAATGTTGAGACGAAAGGAGAGCTGGAGAGTATGCGGGCAGAGGTGGAGGAGATCCGGAAGTTGCTGGCAGCCAAGGAATCGGAGGTTGAAGAGTTGAATAAGCGAGTTGACGAATTGATGGAAGACCTGGAGAATGCGTCCATGAGCGCCATGTATGTTTCTTTATTTTCGCAGGATCATTTTTACATGTCAAAATACTTTATTACGATGCGGCTGTGTGTTTTGAAAACTGACATCTTGATTCCTTATTACTTTCTTTTTTCCTGCAGGCTGAAGAACACGAAGAAGTACAAGGTCAAGACGGTTCAGATCTATGGCTCGAGTGTGAGCGGAAACTTGAAGGTGAAGCGGGCACAGCAATCGATTAGCGACACGTTGGAACAACTCGAGATCGAGTACGAGTTCGTGGATGTATCAGTCTCGGACGAGGCCAAGCGACACATGCGTCGGAAGAACGGTGGAGAGACACAGCTGCCACAGATCTTTGTGGGAACCGAGTACCGCGGTGTGTTTGATGATTTCGAGTACGCGATCGAGACGCATCAGCTGCCACAGTTCTTGGGATTCGATCGAGTACGAGGCTTTGTGCCGCGCCATAAGGACGAGTTCATGAATGGAGCACAGGCACAGGACGGGGAGGATGCGGAGCAGGGCGCTGGATCGCCGAACGCGGTTATGAACGGTGTAGGTAGCCGGTCTTCGTTGTCTGCGGCGAACAGCAAGACGAATGGCAAGAATGTCGGAGAAACGATGTACTTGTTGTCACCGGCTTCGAACAAGTTCCAGAAATCGCCGTCGTCGCCGTCGTCGCCATCATCGATATCGAATGGGTTGTCGCGTAACAGCACGACCACGGGCGCGAAGGCTGGATTTGTGCAGAATGCTAGTCAGGTCTGGGACGGAGCGCTCAAGACGGATATTACGCATGCGAAGCATGATCTGGGCTTCGGGCAGCGTGCAGTGATCATGGATGACGATGAGTTGGATGAGCTGTTCGAGCAGGGCGCGGTTACGGAGGCGGATCTGGAGGCGATGTTGCTGAGTGCTTGAAAAGGACCCGAAGGAAGGCTATGACGGATGGTGGCAGTCGAGATAATGCCAGATGAATACTTTCAGGCCAAGGATGCTTCCGGTGCATTGTTCATATACGAAAGAATAATAAATATGTATTCCTCCGGACTGAACCTCTATTTGTCTATCCGATCTCTATTTGTCTATCCGTTTGTTTGTTTTTTTGCTGTGCATGGCAGGGACAAGCTGGTTCGGTGCTCGAAAAGAGAAAGGGGTTGTCCGAAAACGGTATTGTTGATGTTGTTGGCGAAATAGGGTACGCTCCTTAGCCAGCTCCTTCCCGTATTCCTTGGGTTCCTTTACATTCATGGGTCGATCCAACAAGTTCCCGATCCGCGAGACGATCCCTGGTGGCGGACCTCTCCACACCCTCGACGTGTCAGGTGCCGCCCTCGTAGGCAGGGGGTTTCGACACAAGAGTTTGATGTTGGCGGAGTCGACGATCACTTGGCGGGTCGTCGTGTCGGCCTTGGCCTCAGGTTTGGAATGAGAAGACGATTGTTGCACCATTCGATTTTGCCAAACTCCTCGTCCCCGGGGTCGGACTCGGGTGGACCCACCTTCCTCGTATAGAAGTAGCTGAATCCTTTTTTTCTCCTGCCAGTTGGGTTTCTCGTTCTGGCGTTCGAGGCTGCTCCCATTAACAATTCGACAAGGAGCGTGACAGAGAAGCTGCAGTCGTACTTGTCCGCGATCCAGGGACGGAGGACGGTGAAGACATTATTGCGTTAAGTGAGATTTTAGAGCATCCGTCGTGTTTAAGGTTGGGTAGACGCTGGCAAATTGTCTGTGCACGTGCTAAATTCTTTGTGTTAACTCCAACGCGAATTACAACATGGTCATCAATCGCTCCTTCTAGCCATGTCCAAAACGAAAGGCAATGGATAGTGTTATTGTTGCAAAGCCTAATGTAAGAGCACCAAAAAAAAAAAAAAAAAAAAAAAAAAAGTCGAAGGCAGCACGATCCTGACTATCACTTTATGTAAAAAAAAACCCCTAGTAATTTTATTTATCAAGAGGGTATTATGTTTTTAAAAAAAATGCATTATGTATGAATCCGTCAATGCTCGCAAAGGTAAAATATACGCTCATATACGTATTCGTTGTCCTTGACAACGAACTTGCGCTCTCTCATCAGTGCTTCCCGGTGTTTCTTCGCCTCCTTCATATCTATAGGCCAACCCACCAACGAATCGATTTGCTGAAAGATCTCTGGCGGCATCTTTTGAGCAACTTCCAGCAGTAGCCCCTTAGGTGGTACCCAGCCCTTTTGTTGAGGCGGTACATGGGTCGTCGACAAGATAGGCTGCTCAGGATTAACCAAGAAAAAGACCAGAATTCGACGATATCCAGGCTTGGTGGGGTCCGCGAGTTCAAATGGTTGAACCTGATGCTGATATATATTGGGAAAAGCGATGCATCGGTCCTGCTTGGTCACGATACCATCCAGGCACTGCACCAAGGGCTGATAATTCGCGAGTCCATACATGAACATGACTCCCTTATCGTCCGACTGCTCGTATCTCGGCTCCTTCACTTGGATCCTGAAGTTCAGACGCGACTCGCTAACGTTTTCTGAGTGGTAATAGTAGATTCCTGACGCGGCAATGTTCTCATTACCCATGCCCTCGACATGCCAGGTGCCTCCGTTGTACTTTGGGTTCTCTGGGGTCAGTTCGATGTTGGCCAACTTGACGATGACTTGGAGTGTTTTTCCAGTCCTGAGCTCGTACTTGTTGAGTACTTCTCTAGATTTGAACTCAGGGATGGTGACAGGAATAGGCTCGCGGGTTCTATACCATTCGTCATTGTCAAAGTCTTCGTTCTCAGGATCGACCTCTGGTCGCTCCCCGTACCATTCATAGGGATTTACGGTCAGGATGTTTCTCTTGCGGGGTATGTCTCGCATCTCTGCGAGGACATCCTCGAACATTGGAAGAAACCTTTCAAAGACCTCCTCAAGGACTGGATACATGTCCTTGTGCTCGACCGGATGGAGGTTGTTGATGTAGGACTTGATCTTGACCTTACCCTCGGGACTGACTTCGAAATCAGTAGGCAGCCATTGATATTTCTCGGAGACATAGATAGGAATGATGCCACTAGGATCGGGAGCCTTTTTGAGAACCTTGCCTTGGCCAATAAAGTCGAATGGCGGGAGCGCCTCTTGTTCGGTAACACGGGTCCTGCCAGCGATAAAGGGGAAGAGAGACGGGTGTACCAAGTCCAGGACTTGTTTGTTTGAACCTGGATGCCAGTCCTTGAGGTGCTCAGGTACATCCTCCAGCTTCTTAACACAGGCCAGCAATCGCTCCTTCAATGATTGTGGGATCAGTCCATCAGATCGTCACGTGCCCTCGATGGCAATCTCAATGGGCGCTTCGACGTCCTGCTCGACTTGCGCCTTGCGCTGCTCTGCAAACCACTCGAGCTCCTTGAAGACATGCTCAATTTGCTCATCTCGCAATACCATTCCATCGTTGTGCTCGTTACTGGCTGCCTGAAGCTCTTGCTTCCAACGGGTAGAGATAATTGGATCCTTGAATTTCTCCCACCAACGTGGCTTCTCGCGGATAGCGTTTGAAGCCGCACGCATGGACAATTCGGCGAGGAGGGTGGGATGAAAGCCGCTATTGTATTTGTCGCTTGTCCAGGGATGGGGCAAAGACGATTTGGAGGACATGTCAAGTTGTTGGCGGTAGAGAAGAGGAGGAAAGTGTTCAAAGGGGTTGAAGGGATGAGTCCGATAAGAGAACTGAAGGAATCCCATTCCTTAAATATATTACACGAAAAATGGTGGCAAAAATTAAGATTCTGTAACACATCAAATCAAAAAGCCCCGGTACCTAAAAAAGCTAAAAAAAAAAAAAAAAGGTACATGTACCGGTTTTTGGAGTCTTTGTTCTCCAAAACACCATAGCTGTGAAAACACATATAGGCAAGGAAAACGCGCAATTTCGACAGCAATGATAAATGTGGAGGTCCAAGAGGCAATAAGGCTAGGAGCGGCCACAACAACCAGGAATAGGCAGTAGGAGCACTTCCTTTGGACTATTCATATCTCTTAATGTATTTCATACAAATCGCTAGCTAATGCATAATAATCATCTCGCCTTCAATGCTAATGAAACCTGTCTCTCTGGCCGTCTTAATGTCCTTCTTCTCGTCTTGCGACTGGCGCTGCTCTGGGAGCGAGGAAAAGGAGTGAGCGAGATGGCGACGACCGTGGTTTAAGGTTTAGCATGCGTCTGAGGAAATCTGGCAGTTGCGCAGCTCTGTTCTTGAACTTTGAGCAGCAGCACCAACCTACCTCGCTCATCTCAGCTGCGTTCGCGATGGCTCCGAAGTGGTTCCTGATGTGCTTGTGGAATGAAAACTGTAACACCTGGGGCTTCCTAGTTGCTATTCTCCCCGAATTGGTCATACGCGGGGCATCGAGTGCCATTAAGTTGACGGAACAGGTACAAAGATCCCGTCATTTCCACCCGATGGAAGCAGGAACTCAAAGAGACCAACAACACGCGCTGTAGAGGGTAGGCACTGCGAGATGAACTAATCAAATACGTTTTCAAGAAGCTCGCGTGGCATGCCAAGGAGTGTCAATCGCGAACTGTGAGAAAGTCCCATGTACCGATCGAGCTCGGCATCGTGAGTATACGATCGGATTCCAGCAGAGCTGAAAGACATGTTGAAGTGCGCCAGGAAGCTGGAGCATATGCCTGAGTATCTCAAGATCTTGCATCCAGGCTCAAACATGCGACTCTTCGATATTTGTCCATCCGTCATTCCGTCATTGTCTTCGTCGTCGGTAGGACCCCTGTTGCGGAACGAAAAAGGCTACTCCGGCATTTGACTTCATTGATAAAGGCATGACCGTGCAGGGCGCACAAAGCCGGCGATATTAATGTTGCCTACACCTCCAAGAAGTGCCAATGGCTATCCGTCGATCTCAAGGTTAATGAAGTCAATGGGAAAAGGACAGAGTTTCATCCATGTCCTATATCGATCATTTTATTTTCAGTCAAGCACAAAAACATGCACATAGTTTTCGAGAAAGACCTCGCGTACTCCATGCTCATATCCGAGGCGTCTTGATTGATGCGCAAGACATTGACACTTAGGAGCTACTTCTGAAGACAGGCCCTTGTAGTCGGTATGGAGAACAACCTGATGCTGAGTCCGGGAATAAGGATCATGGGACTATGATATCGGCTTTGCCGATGAGGAAGGCGTTGATAAGGCCAAGGAAGCTGACGAGCATCTATTCATCCGGAAATGTGCCTATCCGCCTTCGAAATACTAGAGTTCAAAACGCCAGCCGAGTTTTTTTTTTTAGAGCTTTGTGAACAGGCCCTTGCAAGTGCTGGTCAAGATAGCCGATACCGGACTCACTCCCAAAAACTCCAAGTACGGAAGTAGTGCCTGACATGCGGATTACATGAATAGCTAGAGCGAAAACAACATCGGGGGTCTTGGTCGCGGTGCCAGCCTATGCGCAATTGGGTCATACTGACTGCAAATACATGTACGGACTCATAGCTGAAGATAAATATCTGCAAGCATCAAGTTCAGCTGCCCGAAGCCTGGATCGTCTAGTGTCCTGGCCCTCATCCAATCTTTGCGAAGACCATATAAAACAATGAAGCGGCTTTTGATAAAATAAAATAAAAAAAGCCAAGGTGTTGTCTGTGGTATTTGCAGCCCCAAAGAGGATAGGTTCTGATGTTCCTTTTTGGGATGTCAATTGGCTGAAATAGTGCTTGGTGACCAGATGCCTATCGCGTTCATGCGTGCCCATCCTTCATCTTGCCTTTTTGCAGCCTCACCGAACCATACAGACACTCAACCGGACTCAACAGCGCTGATAAAAAGAAGCAGAATAAAGACATTACTCTCGACAGGAAGGCGTTCACTAATTCAGTCATCACTGCAAGGTCACCATCATGCCTGACTTGACCAACATCTTCCGCGCCACAGTTCAAGACCTGAGCCAGGCCTCAGATGCCACTGGGCATCGTGCGCCCAACAAACAACTCACCAAACCTCAGCAACCGGATCTCTGGATACAGGAAGCACATAATATTGTATGTGTGTCTACTTGGCTTTTGTCAAATTGGCTTTGCTTGGTGACCATGCTTCCACAGTGGATGTATTCATGGACGACTTACTCTTTGTACCGTATGTTTGTTGTATAAAAAAAGTCAAGGACAATGGCAGACCTTCGCGCGTTCATCATCACTACGCGACCCGCATATCTCAACCTTTCTCGTGGCGCAGGATCAACCGGTGCCAGTGCAAATTCGATGCGCGGCCCACGACGATCCGACTCTATACCCAAGAATAGCTCCAATGGGGCCGGCAGCAGCAGCAGCACCTCCGGATCGTCGAAGCTGTTAAACGACCTCTTGGAGACGGTTTCGTCATTAACCACACTCTCAGACAAAGATCGCGACAGCATCGATATGCAGGCGAAAGTAATGATGCGGCAGATCAAGGGTGCGATCGAGGAACTGGAGACGCTCGAGCAAGGTAGGCAGCAGTGACACGGAAACTGCGAGGAAGGAGCTAAACCATGCAGCAGACATGCGTAATTACTGTATTGAACTTTTTTTGTATTTACATCTATGATTACCATATAGAACGCCGGAAGAGACAACAAAAGAGCAGCAGCGGCAACATGGCAGTGGCAGGACTGAATCAACTCTTGACAGCTGCAACGGGTTCCATGGGTCCTGTTGACAACTTGGCACAACATCGTCAGGGCGTGACTCTTTACTTAAATGAACGGCTCGCCAGTCTCGCCACACTGCATAAGGATCAATATGAGGCCAGGATAGCCCGCGAGATGGAGAAGCGAGAGAGGTATGCAGCAATCAGAGCTGTAAGGATGTGTTCGCGAAAAATGCAAAGCGGGCTGCTGAGTGACGATGATTAACTCTACCCTTGCCTTCGATCTGACGCCCGCTGTTACGCATAACAAAAAAAAAAAAAAAACCTCCCCCCTTCCGACAACACCATCACCATAGCTCGCTTTTTAAGGCTTTGCCCAAACCCGGCGCAGCGGGAGCGAATGGCTATGGCATAAGACGCAACGACTCTGAGGCAGGACCACTGGGACCAGGGGTGATGCTGTCGCAACGCAGGAATAACAATGCCAGTCCACGACCACCGGGCGATAGGGCTTCCGATGTTGCAAACAGAACATCTGGTGCGTCGCCACTTCCATCGTATGGTTCATCTGCTGCACCTACAAATGCTTCTTCGAAAGGTATTTCGTCCGCTCAGTATTATCATCAAAGCCAACAGCCGGGAGATGGGTTCGTGGACGAAGAGCAGGATTTCGAAAACAGCCTGACAGCAGAGCAGAGACAGATGCTGCAGCTGGAGAACGAGAATATCGTCCAGAAACTGGAGACAGAGTTGAATCAAGTCAGGTACGCATTGTCACATAATCTCGCTTTAGTTCTATTGTCTCTCCTCAAATCCAAGGTGACCTTTCTGACCCCAGGTTTTCTGTATACTCGGATCCCAATCGCGTTTCTTCTAGACAACTGGAGTCGTCCATGATGGAACTCTCGTCACTTCACTCGACTATTCAGGAACATCTTGAAATTCAAACATTGCAGACTGATCGTTTGCATGAAGAGGCCTTGACAGCCATCGGTCATATTGATGCCGGAAACGATCAACTTATCAAGGCTGGGAAGCGGAACAGCAGCACTCGCAAGTGGATCTTGTTCTTCTTGATCTTGGCAAGTTTTGTGCTGCTCTTCCTGGACTGGTACGACTGAAGAAAACCAGGCGCATCCACAATAAAACTAATGACAACCAACAATTGCCGACTACTACTCCTCTAACCATGTGAACGTCTCTGTGCTTCGTACAATGTAATTCATGTATTATGGCCCATTATTGACACTATCCTAAAAATACAAATCGAGATGAAGGTCATAAATACAGATACAGCTAGATATTGTACACAATAGCGAAGAAGGTGGGCAATAGACTAGCCAGCAGTCATTTTGTGTTGTTGTTTTCTTCAGGGCGACAGCTCGTGTCCATGCACCCGAACTCTATAGACACATGTGTAGTTGGGATGTCCCCAATTTGACTTGAATCGCAGGGCAACTCCAATGGAAGGCACCGTCTGCTTCGAAAGTGGGATCGAAAATGTCTGCCGTGCCTTTTTGTCACCCTCGGCATCGTATTGAACCGTCGTCAACAGCGTCGCACCTCTCCAAGGAATACCCTCGCGCCACCAAGCACCTCGCTTCGTATTTGTCACTGGCGCTGTTTGCTCTTTCTCCTGCTGCTGGTCGCGCTGGTCGTCCAATGGTGCTGCCAAATTGTCCTCTGACTGCTGCTCCGCGGTTGGTCTTGCAGACTCGTCATTGCCTCGAAGACCCCAAACCTCAATTTCTTTGGGTGCGCTGTTTATGTCCAGAACCACGCTCGGATCCGCATGCTCAATCGTGACCTCAGTTACCACAATTTGTCTCGCCAATCGAATGCCCAATTGTCCATCCTGGCCCTCCATTGCCCAGCATTCGCCCGCGTGAAGATCGGGCTGAATAGCCTTCTCTGGCGTCTTCTCTCGTCTCGGCAACGGTACAAGGAACTTCAGGCCTAATCGGCCCCAAAATGTCGGCTGCACCACGTGATAGTAGCTGGGCGAAGTCAGCTTTGGGATAATCCGAGCACCAGTTGAAAAGAGCGCATAGTCCGGCTTTGCCATCGCATCCGCAGAATACTTATCAAGCGCCTCATCGATTAATCCCATGATGAGATCCTGCTCCACCTCCGTCAATGCTCGGCCATTAGATGAGGCAGAGGATCGGTAGCCTGTTCTCGCTGGCGCACTTCGACCCTGCAGTTTACCCTGTTTTTCAAGCAGATCCATGACATTTCTCTCCAGTCCCTGCCAGATGGCATTGGCCTCTGTTCGCACAAGGCTCAAGAAGACGCTCCTGGACACCTTGGACATGCGGCCCTCAACAAAGTCCGACATCGCGCGCTCATTCTCTTTCAAAAAGTCGTCCCAGCTGAGCAAGGCCTTTCCGTTCTTTCCTCCACGCGTTCTGGATGATCCCCA